TCAATTGCCTTGCAAAACAATGACTGCGGAACCATGTCCTGAACAAACTGTAAGATTCATGCGAGTTCCGAAAGATTTATTTATTTATTTATTTCTTTTTTTCTAATTTTTTACGTAGACCTATTAAAATAAAAATAAAAAAATTGAAATTGAAATCTCAAATTATCATTTGTAACATGAAATCGAGTGCCTGATGATAATACCCCCCGTGCTCATCATTGAAAAAAAAAAAAAAAAAAAAAAAAAAAATTTTGCATGCCCTGAATGACGCTCCTAGAATTACATCAACATTCCAATAGTTAAGTCTTGTATAATAAATAGATATAATAGTATTATAGATCGTAATCAATTGGACTTTTCAAAAAAAAAAATTTTCTTACCTTTTCTTGATTTATTTTTTCCCGATCCCATAGTCAATCTTCAATTGAAATATTTTTTTCTTCCTATTTTTTCTTCTTCTTCTTCTTCTTTTTTTTTTTTACTATCACAATCGAATCTCCGAGGCGTGCTTCTTGTGTCTATGATTTTGTATATTAAATTTTTTTTTTTTTTTCTCAAGTCCGCCTGACCAAACAAAAAATTTTAAGCTTTGATAAACTTGTTGAAAGAAAGAAAGATAGAAAGAAAGAAAGAAAGTAAAAAACAAAAGAAAGATTATTTCTATGGGTTTCACAATTGGACCCAAAAGAGAGATAATAATAATAAAGAAGAGAAAGAAAAAAAAACCTTTTTAATTTTCTTCTGTTTTCTCTGTAAATTAGAAATGATGAAAAAAAAAATTAATCCCAGTATATATACAAAAAATAAAAAGGCACTTTTGTTTGAAATGCATTCTTTTCACATTGGTTTATTTATTTATTTATTTCTTTCTTTCTTTCTTTTTAATAAATAGAATTCTTATCTTTTGTTTCTGAATAAAAAAAAAACAACATTTTAAACTTATAAAGAAGTTTCTTGAGAATCCAAAAAATAAAAAAAAAAGACAGGCTTCTTTACGTCAAAGTTTACATAGAATATCGTATACTTTCTGCTTTCGAGTACTCTTGCGTGTATATATATACTAACAACATCCAAGATCTTTCTTTATGCAAATCAATACACTTTTTAAGCATTTTTATGTTTTTTTTTTTTTTTTCATTCCTCACCACAATGAAAAACCCATTTTAATAAGTTCTTTTGAAAGGGCTATGTATGATGTTACTAAAAAAATATATATATATTGATTCATCCTTTTCGTTGGTGGATCAAGCCTCGGGTCGATACGTTGGAATTAGGTTTTTGTCCCCCAGGGTATATAAAAATAAATAAAATAAAATAAAAAAAAAAAGAAATCACAAGAGACATTATAAATATTTACAAAAATATGGAAGGGATTTCAGGAGCTTGAGCTTGAGCTTGAGCTTGTGATTTAATTCTTTATCCCTTATTCAAAAAAAAAAAATAAATAAAGTCAATTAAAATGCCATAGATCTTTCTTTCTTCTATCTTTCCCTTCACCCCCCTTTTTTTTTATGTTACAATAGGAAGCAATTGGCGTTGGTTTATAGTACGCACTTGAATTCCAACTGGTGCCTTTTTTTTTATATCAAATTTTTTTCTTTCTTTTCTCTTTCCCTTTGCACCCCCCTTTATTTTATTGTTTTTTTATTTATTTATTTATTTTTTTTTTTTCAATTGGCGCGTGCTACAATCCTATTTTTCTTCTATAATATTATTTTATATCATGCACTGTTAAGGAATTTTTCCCCTTTTACTGGAATTCACATTACAATGTGATACTAAAGTATTTACATTCTTTTTTTTATTTTTCTTTTCAGGAATGCTTTTACTGAAACTATTTCTGACTTTTTTTAAAAAAAATAAAAAAATAAAATAAAAGACTAATAATGACTTTAAGTTAACAATCATTGAATTTATCTCGGCCTTTAATTCTTTCTTGTTTTATTTATTGGAATTGTACCATATCTACTTGGATTGTCAAAGTTTTTTTTTTTAAAAGAAAGAATCATATTCTTTAGTTTTTTTTTTTTTTTACATCAAAAGTATATTAAATCTGAAAATTCCATGTCGACTATTTTTTTTTTTAATTTTGATATATATATGCTATGATACCAATAATACTCTTAAAGACTTTTTTTTTTCTTTTCAAAAAAAAAAGAAAACAAATAAAACTTTAATATTTATAGTTAAAAGGTTATGATAAACTTTGGATTACCAAAATACTACTAATTCTTTAGTAAAAGAACATTTCTAATTTTTTACTAAAAGACTTTAATTGAAGAAAGAGGGTTGGTGCACTCTACTGTTGTTTATTTTTTCATCATGTTTTTCATTTAGATAATTTCAAAAATTGGATAAACATTATGAATATTCAGATTAATCTTTTTTTATTTTTTTATTTTATTTTTTTTTCAAAAGCCTCGTTACTACCATCACAGGATGACCATTGAGTGAATTTTTCATCAACTGTTCTTCATATTACTAAAAAAAAAACCTTTATGAAAAAAATAAAAAAACCAAACCTAGCTAGACTTTGTTAATTTTTTTTTTTTTTTTCATTTTTTACATTCAATGCTTTTCTGGGCTTTAAACTCTCTTTTTATTCTATGCATTTCTTTTCCATGCAAAAAATCCAACACATGCTAAACTCTGTTTTTCCCTCCCCGTTGTTGTCGTCAATTTATTTTATTTCTTTCTTTCTTTTAAGAAAAGGCCTAATGTTATAATTCTGGATATCTAAATACCCGTTAACCTTTTTTTTTATACTATCGTCATACCAAAAAAAAAAAAAAAAAACTAAACAAATAAAAATAAAAATAAAAAAAAATGGCAAGTCAACAAGAAAGTTATATCGTCATAAAGATCTATCGCAATTAACAAACCCGACTAATTAACTAATTTTTTTTTTCATTTTTAAACTATTTTAATTGCTATTTGTCCTATTTTATTTTATTTTTTTTACATTATCTTGTTCGGTTACCCAGAATGACTCAGTCCACAATCATGCCGAGAGGAAGAAGAAAAAAATGAACACAAGGTCTCATTTTCTTTTTAAACTTTAAGGCCCAAGTCTTATTTTATCCATTAAATTATGAGTTGCTTCTCCTTCTTTGTGATTTTAATTTTACACAAATTCTCTCTTTCTCTTTCTCTTTCTCTTTCTCTTTCCGCGCGTGGTCATTGCAAAACTAGAATAAAACAAAGTTCTTGGGCCTTAAGTAAAAGGACTTATTTCTTAAATCATAAGATGGCAAATCACATTCAATATATATATCCTTTTCCCCGTTTCGGATCAATTCCTGAGTTTAAAAAAAAAAATGATGGTTTTCATTTTCCGGATTTTTCTTTTTTTTTTTTTAGGATTATTTCATCACTCAGTTGCAAAATAGTAAACTGTAGCGTTCTGCGCTCATGTGATGAATCTTTGATTTCTATTGAATATGTATAAAAAAATATTAAACAATAATTCGATGGAATCAACAATTTGAAAGTAGGTTGTTCTTCTATTCTTAAAAAAAGAAAAAACAAAAAAAACAAAAAGAAAAATACATCCTCTTTATCCCTTAATTTGGTCATAATTTATAAAATACATCCTTAAGAATTTGCATAGCCCGTGCTTGTGAAATGTACTTTGCCTAGTGTACCCAATTGTATAAACATTTAAGGTGTTTGATTACTTCGTTTTGTCAGAATGACGTTTGAAAGAGAAAAAAAAAAAAAAAAAGAGAGTTTATTATTATTAATCTTGGAAAATTATTCAATTTTTTTTTTTTAAAGAAAAGTTTATGGACATATTCTGATGAACATGAAAGAAAAGTAGTAGCAATAATAATGAAAAAAAATATACCCAATTGAGGGTCATTTGGATAGCCATCACAATGATTTAATTATTGTTCTTTTCTCTTTTCGTTTTATTTTGCTATTATGGGCATCTAAACAAAAAAAAAAAAAAAAAAAAAAACCCAGATTCTTGTTTCTTTATTCATGTGCAGCAAAGGAAACTTAACCTTCTTTTCTTTTTTAACGAAGGACTAATCAATTAAGAAAATATTCAGGTGAAGCAATAGTAGCAGTAAAATAAAGTGAATCTTGTAATAAACTTTATATTATCTATTACTATTCAACATTGCTAAACTCTAGATTTTAATTCAAACGAATTTCTTTTATATTCATCTTTTATATATAAAAGATTATTAAAAGAAAACCTTGTGTAAAGATGAAAAAGGCTTGTGTAAAAACAATGATGACTACTAATGAGAAATTCATATTTACAAACTTTCATTTGACAAAGATGAATTGTGTTAAGTTTATTCTTAATATACGTTAGGCCTTCTCGAGTTTATTTTTCTTTAACTTTTGAAAGGACTTCAATCAGCAAATTAATCTAAAAGTTTTGTTTTGTCCATTTTTCTTTTCTTTTGTTTTTTTTTATTCAATAATCGACATTTCATCATATTCTTAAAAAAAAATGTAAGTATAAAAGTTTCATTGACCCATTAGTCTCTTTAAACTTTTTCATAGTTCATTTAAATCTATTTTATTGTTTTAAGTTTATTATTTTTTATCCAGTTTGTTTGAAAGTCAAGTATTCTTAGGTAACAGTGGGATATGAAAAAAAAAATTTTTTTTTTTCAAATAAAATAAAGAGAACCTATTCCCGCGCATATACGCATGAAACGTTAAACAGACAAAAAATAATTAAATCCCTTAATAAAAATAAAAACAAAATATCAACTTTTTTTTTTAGTTATATCTATTGCCGAATAATTTCTAAATTATTTAGGGCTATAATACAATGACATATGCACTTTTCATGTGCAGAATTTTTTTTTAATACGTTGTCAAACTAACAAAATTTTCACCTTTCCTTTTTCTTCCAACTCCCCGCAAAGCTTAAGATAAAAATAAAAATAAAAAAATAAAAAAATAATAAAAAATGCACTTCATTATATCTATCTTTAAATAAATCTAATCTCTCTCTTTTACTTCCCTTTTTCAGTTCATTTCGCTTGTTCTGCCTTGGAGTGCGCACCTTTCAAATACGTAGCTTTCCAATCCGCGTACATGTTGCGTCTTAGCGGATCAATTTTTTGCAACTCATTGTAAACTTCCACCACCCGTTTGCTATCTTCTTCCTTTTGTTTGCTTTCACCCTCCTGTTGCTCATTGCTGCGCATGTGGTCTCGTAAATACACAAGAGCAAGCAAACAGTACGAGTTTTCTGGTTCTTCAGCAGCAAGTTCTTCTACAATATCAATTTCCTTCTGTAGGTACTCAGCACACTTGGCTGTGCTTAGGCCTGGCACAATTGATCTTTGCAGGTTGTTGTACAACCACTTGTGATAAAACCACGCAGACGACAAGTCCGGGTCAGTAAAAAGCGCCTGTTGCACGTAATTAATTTCGCCATCTAAAAAGGCAATCCGCAAAGTTTCTTCTTTTTCTCCGCTAGCCTTTTCTTCAGCAACTTTTTCGGTAAGGTATGAGGGAATGAGAAGTGCACGGTTGTACCATGCAGAAAAATTGGAAAAATCCTGATTAATTTTTAGTGTTGTGAACCGGAACTCGTGCTGCACCAACGTCTTGTCTGGATCATCCGCTGCTGGCTTATATTGTTGTAACGTATTAAGCTTATCAATGACGATGCGGCGGTAATGCCAACCATGGAAATTGCGCTGATCCTTAGAAAGAAGGTAATCAACAAGACCAAGCTCCTGGTTCCAGTCGGCTTCTGGGAACTGGTTGATGCACCAACTGCGGTGGTTCCACAGCCAGTAAGATTTTGGGTAAACCTTCATTTTGGAAAGCACAAAATGGATCTCATTAAGTAATAGTTTTTGTTTAGCGGCAGCTGCGGCTGCGGCTGCAACACTATTGGAATCACTGGTATCCTGCGTCTTTTCGAGCCCAGGGAAAATACTCTCTAAAAAAATCTCGCGACGGATATTCCAAAAGGTATAATTGTCAGGGTTCAGGTCCAGCAGATCCGTGGTCACCTGGAGCGCTTTGTTGTCTTGTTTTTTGTTGCGGCGATTTTCAAAGCACAGTGCTGTAAGAGTTTGGTATTCCTTGATGAGGGGTGCATCGTGCCGTTTTTTCCGCTCAAGAACATCTTGCGGTGTATTCTTACGTTTGACGGAATGGTTCTTTTATAATGGTTAGATAAAAAAATAGATTGATTCAAGGGCTATAGGCATACCATGAGATCTGTGATTAAGCGAACAGGGAGGTTGATGATTTTGAATAGTTCGATGATGGGGTTGGTGATGATGACGTTAATCTAAAAATGACTTGTCAGTGTGATCAAAAAAAAAAAATAAACCCTTAACCCTTAAATTGTCACGTGCAATCTGATTTTAGCCGTACAGTGGTATATTCAGGGTAAAGAACAAGCAACCAAAAAAAAAAAAAAAAAAGTAAACACACCGACCCTTTTTCAAAAGATTTCAAAAAAGATTTCAATTCTATTAAGATAAAACGATCTGGGATACTTGAATCTTCTTACATATAATACAATGGCCTCTTCTTCTGGTTTAAATCGGCAAACAACATCGTCATTACTTTCTGCTCCTACAAGGTCTAAGGTTGCACTCAAGGGATCGAGTCGCACTGTAGCCGAATTTTTTGGTAAGCATCTTTGATTTCTTGTCCTTAGTCTTTTTTTCTTTTTTTTTTTAATTCAATTGTATAAGAACTAACAGTAATAATCTAGAATATAGCATCAACTCTATATTATACCAGCGTGGAATCTACCCGCCGGAGGATTTCCAGGTGGTACGCAAGTTTGACTTGAACGTGCTTGTGACAATTGACAGCGAAGTCAAGGCTTACATTAAAAAAATCATAGTGCAGTTGCACCGGTGGCTGGTCCACGGCAAAATCAAGAAACTTGTTGTTGCAATAGTATCCAAGAACAGTGGCGAGGCAGTTGAACTATGGCAATTTGATGTCAATATTTTGCCCGAGAGTCCTAATACCAAAAATAATACCAGTGGGTCATCAGTACCTTCTAATGAAAAAACCCCCGAGACAGTGCAAAAGGAAATCCAAGCAATTATTCGTCAAATAACAGCCTCTATTACGTTTCTACCAGTCCTAGACCCGGGTCTCTACACATTCAATGTCCAGGTATATGCAGATGCAGACGCTCAGGTACCCACCGAATGGGCCGATAGCGAAGCGCGGCAGCTTCGCAATGCGGAGCAAGTGCAACTACGCAGCTTTAGTACGGGATCGCATTCGGTGAGCACGCAGGTAGCATACCGGCTAGGTGGTGGGGATGAAGACGAGTAAATAAGTAAGGAAGAAGGCTGAAAAAGAAGACGACGAAAGAAAGAAAGAAAGAAAGAAAGAAAGAAAGAAAGAAAGAAAGAAAGAAAGAAAGAAAGAAAAAAAAAAAAGGAAAGGGAATATATATAAAGTAATGGTTTAAGAAAATAATGATGATGATAACAATAGACTGAGGAGGAAAGACGTGTGTGGGTGTGTTTTTTTGGTTGGCTGGATAGTTAGATGGATTGTAGTTAGTGTGTGTGCATTACAGTAGATACCATGGGGAATGGAGAAGCAAACCACGATTAAAAAAAATAGATTGAAGCAATCTTTAACTAACTATCTGGGAAATCATCTTGTTGGTTGGAGAGGAATTAAATGAAAGGGTTTTAAGAAAGAATGCGGGTTTACTAGTATCTTTTTCAACATTTTTTTCTTGGTTTTAATTAGAAGAAGCATGTGTCTTCCAATAAAAAAAATAAAATAAAATAAAAAAATAAAAATTTAGTTTGTAATTTAGAAAATCTTTTTAATATAAATGTATTTTAATAATTATTTACCTAAAAGAACATTCTTCCTTTTTTTTTTTTGGGAGAGGATATTTTTTAATATTATTTTTTTATACTTTGTAAACAATTAGATCGCGCGATTATCTTAAGAAAATGTAAATCTGATACCATATGAAAAGGGGCTTACTACTGGGCAAGTCAAAGTTGATATATATATATATATATATAAACCCGATTTAAAGATTAAGACTTTTGATTTTTTTAAACAAGGCAGTTTTATATTTGAGAAGAAATTGTTTGCAGCAATTAAGTAGCGTCGTATCTATCAACCAACGGAATTTTTTTATTAAAAAAAAAATAAAAAAAAAATGTAGAAAATCTCAAATAGAAAGATAAACGAAACCATTTCATAAAAAAAAAAAATTCACATGAAAAAATAAATAATTAATTAATTAAATAAACAAATAAACAAATAATTAAAAATATATTATTATTATTATTATTATTAAAGGCCTTTCTTTTCTTCGATTTCAATTTTTGTTAATAATTAAAATGAGCTTTTTTTATTTTTTTTCTTCCCCCCCCCCCACACAAATAATTTTTTGCTTTTTTTCCATTGAAAGAATTTCTCATGATGTTTATGTCTTATCTTTGGTCTCCGTTTTTTTTTTTTTTTTTTTTTTTTTTTTTATTTATATTTATATTTATTGTTTGGACTATATATCCTCCCAACAAAAACGGTCAATGCTACTACTAGTTTTTGTCAAAAATAAAAATAAAAATTAGTGATGATCATCTTTATTATCAATTATCAATTATCAATTGATATAACATCTCAATAAGTATACTAACTGTTACGTATTTTATTACACTAGTTTGATAAAAAAAAAACGTATATATATATATATATATTTATTTAAATGCATGGCAGATTTGAATAAAAAAAAGGGGGTCTTTATTATTTCTTCTTCTTCTTCTTTTTCTTCTTCTTTCTCAATGATGTAGTTTCCCAGTACTTAATATATCTATGTTTGAATAAAGAAAGTACAACCTGTTGGGAACAAAAAAAAAAAAATAAAAAATAAAAAAGGGCCTGAAACGGAGAATCCATCGCAATCAAAAGAAAGCCGATTCTTTATCTCTTCTTTCTTTTTTTCTTTTTTTGTTTTTGTTTTTTTTAGTTTAGCCGATTTCATAGATTATTTTAAAAAAAAAAATTAAAATAAAATAAATAAATAAATAAATAGGCCTTCTTTCTTCCGTAAATGATGAGCATATAAATAGGCGACTATCAAACGGTTATCTCTGAAAAAGCCTTCCCTTAAAATTACTTCTATCTCCGTTACTATTACAAACAATTCGCACTATTTTAAATATATATATTCCTAAACTATTAAATCCTTAATCAATATATATATGTATGTAAAAAAAAAAAAAATTCAAACATTTATTGAATAAAAAACCTTTAAAAAATGAAAAAATTATATATATGTAAATTTATGTAGTATTTAAGAAACAAAATCTTGTAAAAACAAAAAAAAAATCCCTTTCATTAACAGGATAATGCACTGACCATTTTATTTCTTCTTCTTCTTCTTCTTATTTTTCTTTTTCGTTTTTATGAAAAAGACTATTTCTTTTTAAAAAATAAAAAAAAAATAAAAAAAAAGTGAATCCAAATTTCTAAATACTAGTCCCACCAAAAAAAAGTCACGATATTGTAAAACACACGCCAGTGTTTATTGTGCAATCCCTGTAATGCAATTAAATAATTTTTTTTAATGTTTTGATATTCTTTAAGTTTCTGATTTAAATGATAATATTGAAAAAAAAAAAAAAGACCATGCTTTGGTCATATAAAAAAATGCAATAATGATGAAATGATATGATTGTGGGATTTTTCCTTTTTTTTTTTGTCAAGAGGATTTCCAGTTTTTCTTATTTTTTTTGTAGTCCAGTTTTCCTTTTTTCAGTTTTTTTTTGTTAATCGCTTTTCTTTTTCCTTTTTTTTTTTCTTTGGTATAACTGGCTTAATGGCTAAGCTGAGAAGGCGAAGGACAAGTGGTTGTGGATCCAAGAGGTGAATGAGGCAATGATCGCGGAAGCGAGCCGGTTGGTGTAGATCCTAGAGCAGCTCCAGAAGATCCCAATCCATTATGAGCGTTTTGCTGCTGATATTGCTGTTGCTGTTGCTGTTGCTGCTGAGCTGCCATCTTCTTACGTACCACATTTAATCTGTGTGTAATCGTGTCAATAGCCTTTACAATGCGAGCCCGTTCATTGACGTCAATCACATCACGGGACTCATCGTCTGGTTCCAGCAATGACTGAAGCATCCAAATGGCTGTTCCGTAAGAAATCTCAGACCCTTCAAGGTCCACAGATGCTGCCTCTGATACTGCCGCAGAGCGCGACATTTCAAGGGCACGGTCAAAAATCAATGTGAACGCAGTCAATGCTTTGCAATGCGCAAGCACGGCTTCTGTACAATTACCAGAAAACTTATTGATTTGCATCTGAGCATATTCAGCCTTGTCTAAACTCTCATTGAACTTGTCACGAATCCACTGTACCTGTTCAACAAGTTTCTTTGACGCCTGTGGCGGAGGTCCATGAATACCGCCAGATCCAGAGTGGGTCGTGGCATTACCAACGCTCCCACCACTGCTATTGCTGCTAGTACTGCCTGCACTTCCAGGCGCAGACGAATCGCCAATGCCGCCATTTCCTCCGCGCGATTTCCACCAAGCTGCAGCTTCATTCATGATCCGAGACAAAAGAGACAAAGTCTTGAGATACAAGACAAGGGCTTCGTGGGCAACAACAACCATGGCATCGGCAGACAAGTCTACATCGGAACAAGATCCTCCTTGGCCATTAGATGGCAAAAGTTGCGAGTATTTGACTTCAGCAAAAATGCTAATAGCCTTGGCCTTGGTGGCAAGGTTAGTAATGTGTCGTACAAACCGTTTCTCCTCGGCATCTGCAGTTGTCGAAAGTGCGCGCTGTGAAAACTGTGGAGGAGTAATGGTAAGAACATCGCCAGAGTCAGTCACGCGTGTTCCAAACAAGCGAGCAGAAGCCATACTCAAGGCGCGGGCAAGTGCGTTAGAAGGAGAGGATCCATGTACAATCGAAAGCCGACGAGAAGCAGCGCCGTTTTTGTTAACTGAAGTCTCGGAGGAGGGAGATGGAGGTTGTTGTTGTTGTAGCTGCCCAGGATAGTGGGGATTGTAGTCTGCCCCACTACCAGGAGCGCCACTTGAACTACTATTGCGATGACGCCGAGCAACAGCTCCGCCTGCGGCCGCAGCTGCAACAGCGGCTGCAGAAGCAGCGGCTGCCGAAGCAGCAGCCATGGCGACGGCGACAGCAGCAGAGCCTGGACTAGAGCGGGTGGAGGAGTTGCGGCGGTGCTGGAGTTGTTGTTGTTGTTGGTTATACTGGTACTGGTACTGCTGGTTTTGATAAGACCCCGCATTGTTACTGGACTGAGAGGAAACACTATTATTCCGAGAAGATGGCTTGGAATGGTTAATATGGTGGTCTACAGGCGAATGAGTCAACTCATCAGCAAAAGAGTTGACCTCAACTGTGCGTTTTTCGACAACCACATATTCAGACTCAAGAGGTCTTGAAAATAACCCAGTGGGGGGAGAGGAGGAGGAAGAGGAGGAGGAAGGACGATTTGTAGTGGCACGGGACTTGCCATTATTGTTGCTTGCATTAGTGCCGGCGCCAGCGCCAGCACCAGCACCAAACGCGGGGGTGTTAGCAAGATGTAGATTTTTATTAGTGCGGTTTGATCCATAAGCTTTGTTGCAAGTTGGTTGCCTTGTTTCCAAGCTCAAAGTTGGTTTAATATGCTGAGGGTAATGGTCATCATCATTTAAAAGATGCGAGCCAAGTCGCTTATCATGCTGTTGTGACGATGGTTGAGCGAGCCATGAAGAGCTTGGGGAAGGAGAAGCATCGCCGAGAGAGTTTGGTGAGTAAGATGAAGGCTTTGGAGAATGCTGCTGCTGCTGCTGCTGCTGCTGTTCGGTCAGTTGAGGAAGTCTACCAGGAAAAGAGGATGTAGACGATGTGCATGAATGAGAAGAAACAGTGAATGCAGGGATTTTAGTTGTAGCTTGAGCAGTTGAAGTGTTTGAATGCAAAGTATTATTATTGTCCGTAGATGTCTTGTCAGCTTGGTGGTGATGTGTGTTTTTGGACACAGCAGTGTCAACATCTTCAAGGGTTCGGGGGACCGAATGGGGAGGAGTGGGTGGCGCAGATAATGTATGTGATGAGTTTGTGTCTTCTTCATTAATGGAATTATTTGGAGGAGTAGTGTGGCCTGCTGCACTGCTACTGCTGCTGCCGTCCCTGCCGTTATTATCCCTTGACTTGTGATTTTCACTGCTGGGCAGAGTTGCATGAAACTGGCGGTTTGAATAAGGCTTAGTTTGTGCCTGTTGTTTTTGTTGTTGCCAGTTTGTTATTTCGGTAAGTTGGTTATTTTCCTGCTGCCGATGATGCTTGTCCTTTTCCTTGTATTTGTTATTCATCATCCCTTGGTTTCTATTAGAAGCAGGAGGTAATCTTTGCTTCATTCCGTGACGCTCGAGCTCAGCTCTATCTCTTGGATTATTCGGGCCAAGTTGGATATACTCGGCAATGTAAAGATCATCGGTCAAAAAGGATTGATCAAGAGGCTTGTTTTCCATTAAACTATCGGCATCTCGAATGTCATCAACAATGACAGGGTCGTTAAAAAACTCTGCAAAAGACATGCGCTGGGTGGCATCTTTTTTGAGGAGAGACCGGATAAGACGCTTAATGTCTCTGGAAGTGTTGTTGTCATCGGGGAAGTCGATAGTGTCGCCCATTTGTTCAATCTGGGCCAGCAGGTTGACATGAGACGAGGCCTTGAAGGGGGGTCTTCCTGCGACCATTTCAAAAAGAACAGCACCAACGGACCAGAGGTCAGCTTTGGCAGTGTATTTTTCGAGTCGGAGGATTTCTGGGGCCATGTAGAGTGGAGAGCCGCAGAGAGTTTCAGCCATGGAGGTGGAAGGGAGAATTCGGGCAAAGCCAAAATCGGCTAGTTTAAGCACTGGGAGTTCCCAAAGGCCCTTGTAGCCAGCGTCGATAGCCTCTTGCTCTGTGTGTTTTGGCGGGCAAAGCAGGAGATTTTGTGGTTTGATGTCTCGATGTACGAGGTGGTGTTGTCGGAGAAACTCGAGAGCGGATGCAAGCTGCTTGAGAAAGTGGCGGGCAAGGTCCTCGTGGAGGCCATTAGAGTGTGGTGGTGGAGGGTATCGCTGGAAGAGAGAGTTGATGAGAGGCAGCGAGTCCGAGATTTCCTTGCGGCGTTTAAAAAAGTAGGATAAGTCGCCAAGGGAGCAGTATTCCATGATGAGAAAGAAGTGGGTTGGAGTTTTATAAGAGTCGATGAGAGCGACGATGTGTGGGTGGGCCATACGCTTGAGAATGTTGATTTCAGACTCTAGGTTTTCCAAAAGCTTCTTGTTTAGGCGGGCTAGATGGACCGACTTTACGGCAACCGGAGCCTTTGAGACAAGATGTTGGCCCTTGTAGACACTAGCAAAAGAGCCCCGGCCAATCTCGGGGCCCAAACGATAAGTGCCAGACAAGACCTGAGGTTGGTCAGACATGGGTGTGTGTTGTTGTGTGGATAATAGTGTGAGGGTTTTTGAAGTGATAAGATAATCAATCAATAAGGTGAGAAGACGCGATCAGAGCGTTTGATTGTGGGTGATGAGGAAGAAAGAGCTGGTTAAGACCACCAGAGGTTTGTAAGATAGGATGCCTATGATATGGAGATGGTTTATAGGATTAAAAATATAATGATATATATGAATGTTTTACAGAATGTTATTAAAGAAAAATAAAGAGAAATTAAAAAAAAAAAAAAAGGTGTATCTATTTTGTTGATGGTAGGAAGGAAGAAATAAAAAATAAAATAAATAAAAAAAAAAAAAGGTAGAGATAATGGTGATAAAAAAAATATATTTTAAAGGGCCTTTTTGTTGTTGTTTTTTGACAGTGTCACTTTAAACGTATATACTACTAAACATATACTAAGCATATTAACAGTGCACAAAAAAAACATTACTTATATATATATATATATATTATTAGTTTCTAAGAATTTGAACTTTTTTATTATTTAGTCATTTATTTATTCTTTTAAAAAAATAAATAAAAAAAGAAACAGCTACTTCAAAACTTCCATTCATTTTAAATGAAAATCAAATCAGTCATCTTAGTTGTTTGTTAAAGTCACTCAACCTGTCAAACTCAGTCACTCGTAATCATCATCATAATCAACATCATCAGTTTGTATTACACAATGTATTACATATATTATACATCTATATGTGTCATTACGTAACTTGTTTTTTTTTTTTTTTTTTTTTTCTTAATCTCCAACAGCGTTTATACACCTGACATGGCATACTAACAAACAAAAGCCGCCCTTTTGGCGCAATGACTGGTGACAAGCAGCTGATGAGATCACGTGGATTTAATAGTAAGTTATATTTTATATAAATTATTTAATTTTATGTGAGTTATGTAAGAAGCTTATGTAAACTATCGCCATCTAACCATGCAAACTGGTCTTAAAACCCACATGAGCACTCATCTCAAGTTTTAGACATCTTTTTTATTTCCCATTAAAGGGGGTTTATTTATTTTTTTTTTAATTTAAATATATATATATATATATATATATATATAGATATATCATGGTAACGCCTATTTCAACTGATATTTCGCAATCTTCTTTAATACTGCTTTAAGAGGAACTTGCATTCTTTACAAATTTTTTTTCTTTTTTTTTTTTTTTTTTTACTTACACTCTTTTTTTTAAAGTCTAGAAAGATTCTTACACAGGAAGCAAAAGAAAAACTCTTACTCGACTTTTTCCATGACTCGGGTGAGTTCTTCAGCATCAAGGAAATCGAGTCAACAGTAGCAAAGAAAACAGGCATCAAATCAATGCAAATTAAAATAGTCCTTAAAGCTCTCACTGATAACTCACTTGTGCGCACAGAGAAAATTGGATCTAGCAACTACTACTGGTCATTCCCAAGTGATGCTAGTGTAGCACTTAAGCACAGAATTGACAAACTAACATTGTCTGCTGAAACATTGGAACACGAAGTTATAACTTTACAAAACCAAATGGATCTTGAAGAAAAACAAAGAATACCTTCGGTAGATTCTTTAAAATGATTAAAATAATTTTTTTATTGAGTTTAACTAACTTTTTTTTTTTTTTTTAAAAGGAAAAACGTGAAGAACAACTTGCAATTTTGAAGCAGCTAGAAACAGATTTAACTGAAACTACTAAGAAACTAGAGATTTATTCTTTGACTAGTCCTAAGGCTTATAAAGAACTTGTATCTAAGATTGAAGAGAAAAAAGCCATTTCAAATAAAATGACAGATAACATCAACTCTATGGTTTCTTATTTGCGCAAAACATCGTTTGTTCCATTAGAACTCATTCAAGCGGAGTTTGGGTTTGATGACAATGATATGGAGGAGCTTGTTTAAGTTTGATTGATTAATTGATTAATTGATTAATTGATTGATTAGTTAATTAATTAACTGATAACGACTTGTGCTTTTGTTACAGGTTTTTGGGAAGTTAATATTTTGTAACATAATGATGCGGCTTTTCAGAAAATTTTTACTTGGAAAAAAATTACATAATTCTTCGCTGATAAAAAAAAAATGAAATCTTTGGGTGAAAATTTTTTTTTTTTAAGATTTTTTTTTTTTTTTTTTTTTTTTTTGGCTCCCTTATTTAAAGAGCCTCTTTTCCTTAGCCTGTTATAATTTTTTTTTTCTTTCTCCCTTTTTTTTTTTTTTTTTTTCAATATATTTTTTCACTTTAAAAAAATACACACAAACCCACATATAATCAACAATGGGCAAGTCTACATCATCGTCAAAGAAGAGCTCCTCTAAGGACTCATCCAAGGCTTCTAAGAAGGCCATCAAGAAGGAAGAAACCGTCAAGAAGGAATCTAAGTCTAAGGTTGTCAAGAAGTCCAATGACTCTGACTCTTCCGACTCTGAATCTGAATCTGAACCCGAATCTGAAGACGAGAAGGAAGAAGTTAAGAAGGCCCAGAAGGAAGAGTCTGAGTCTGGTTCCGACTCTGATTCCGACTCTGACTCTGACGAGGAAGAGACCAAGGAAGAAGCCTCTTCTTCTGAGGAATCCGACTCCAAGAAGAGAAAGGCTGAGGATGAAGAGGAATCCTCTGAAGAAACTAAAAAGCCCAAGACTGAAGAAGCTCCCGTTGAAGAGGAGGAGCCTGAGTCCTGCACTGTCTTTGTTGGCTCCCTTTCCTGGGGCGTTGATGATGACAAGCTTTGGGAAACCTTCAGTCACATTGGTGAGGTTGTCGGTGCTCGTGTTCTTACTGAGAAGGGCACCAACCGCAGCAAGGGCTTTGGCTATGTTGATTTCAAGACCCCTGCTGAAGCCCAAAAGGCTGTTGATGAGATGAATGGCCAGGAGGTTGACGGCCGTACCATCAAGGTTGATATTTCTAAGCCCAAGAAGCCCCGTGATAACTTTGGTGCTTCTAACGAGCGTGCCAACAAGTACGGTGACTCCATGTCTCCTGAATCTAGCACTCTGTTTGTTGCCAACCTGAGCTTCAACACTTCTCGTGATGACCTCTTCAACACCTTTGGTGAGTTTGGCAGCGTCCAGTCTGTCCGTATCCCAACCAACCCTGACACTGGCCGCCCCCGTGGCTTTGCCTATGTTGAGTTTGAGTCTGTCGACCAAGCCAAGTCTGCCATTGACTCGCTCCAGGGCTCAGACCTTGCTGGCCGTCCCATCAGACTTGATTACACTTCCCCCCGTGATAACAATGGTGGTGATAACAACAGAGGTGGTTTCCGCGGTGGCCGTGATGGCGGTTTCCGTGGTGGTCGTGGCGGTGGCCGTGGTGGCCGTGGTGGCAGCCGTGGTGGTTTCCGTGGTGGCCGTGATGGTGGTTTCCGCGGTGGCCGTGATGGTGGTTTCCGTGGTGGCCGTGATGGCGCTCCCAGCCGTGGTGCCAACACTGCTGAGTTTAAGGGCAAGAAGACTGTTTTTTAAGAGAGTAACGAGAGGAATTTAAAAGTTTGTTTTTTTTTTTTATTTGAAAGACGTTATGACTACCAAAACTTAATGACGAGATATACTACTACTGCTAATTTTTTTTGATGACCTAAAAAGTAATGATAAATCCTGAATCACTACCAAAAATTATTATATTTTATAAAATGAAAAAAAAACAAAAAAACAATGCCATTTATAGAAGAACAAAATAAATAAAATTTAACGACTAATAATTAAAAAAAAAAAAGAGAAAAAAGCCGAGCATATTTTGTGTCTACTTGAAGTTACGAGATGGTGCGATTTCTTTATGTGGATGAATGTTTTGAAATTTTTTTTTATTTATTTTAAAAGGTATATTAATTAATTACGTAATACTTGACTACTTATTTGTCATTTCATATGACCAAATTCCATGCTTTTCCTCAAAAGTGCCGACACAAGACTTTTTTTTTTTTGTTTTTATTACACCGCCAATACGAAAAAGAAATTCCCAAAGCCTCTGACATCCCTTTAAAGGCCCTTTTAATTTTTTATTTTTTATTTTTTATTTTTTATTTTTTATTTTTTATTTTTATTTTTATTTTTATCTGTTTCCTACTAAGCTCTCATCATTTATTTATTTAATTTTTTTTTTTTTTGATATAAAAATTCCTGTTTTAAACAGGTATCTATAGACGTTTATCATCATCGCCATCATCTCCACATCCTATTATAGGAAACAAAAATTCAAAATAATAATATTATTATAGAATCTCTCGTACACTACCGCGCTATGGTATTCAGCACGCCATGGAAAGCGGCCATCACGGTCATAGTGGTTTTTGCATTGGTTGTTTTCATAGCGCTATTTGGAAATCTTCCGCAATGCAGGTAAGTCTTTTTATCACCTTCCTTTTCTGAACCCAATACAATCCTACAATACACCCAGAATCTCAAAAATGTAATGTGTATATATAAATCAAATGCATTGTATATACTCTCTCTTGGGAAACTCACCCTCTCAGGTTCAAGTTACTACTGCTCCTTCTTTTGTAAACAAGAAACAACTCCAACCGAAAAAAAAAACCTTAACCAGTTATTATCTTTACCTAAAATGACAAAAGTACTAACATCAAATTTTTTTTTTCTTCCTTTAAAGAAACACTCCCGTTTCTTTCCTTCGTCATTTCATTTTCATCACCCCTTTGAACATGCTGAGCATATGTACCCGGCGCATCCGCTCCTCTAAACACTACCCTTTAGCCGTTACAATATGGTCTCGATTTATTGTTCCAGTATCTAAGTGGATTGTCCCAGTCTGTTATATTGTACTCTACACCATCTGTGTTTACGTTTTTTTCACAGACACTTATCTTCGAATATATTTGCAACTCTCGTCTTTAAGTCGTCATGTCCTTATTCCTAGTATTGTCCTGCTTGTTTACGGGTCTACCTTTTTAGCTACTTTTATGGATGCGGGTCACATTACGCGTAAAAATGTAGACATTGCGCTACAAAAATTCCCTTTTGACGACATTATCTTTTGCGGGAACGGTATCGAGGTCGTCCCCCGCAATACCGATTCATCTTTATCTGTTGCTTCAGCAGCAGGATCAAGCTCTTCGTCAACCCCACTTATGACCCATACAGATCCTACTAGCACACCTACCGATTTAAATTTGGACAGTATCCCACGTAATCGCATGGGCTTATTATCAACACGCCGATCAACCTCAACTGACGGCTTCTCAACAGCAACAGCAACAACAACAGCAACATCACTTTCATCTTCAACTTGTCACTTGCGTCATTCTCTGCACCCTGACATCCCCATACAAGGCAGTGCGCAGACATGCCGGACTTGCATTCAACCTAAACCCGCGCGATCAAAACACTGTTCGACATGTGACCGGTGTGTGGCCAAGTTTGATCATCATTGCATATGGCTGAACAACTGTGTCGGGCTCTACAACTACCGCTGGTTCTTGCTGTATTTACTCAGCAATGTGCTCATGCTGGGCTACGGCGCACTGCTCACATATGGTTTGCTGAGCAGCGAACTACAAAAGTATACACGGATCGGCTCTATAGTTAGCCCAACAATGACGACGGCAAACAGTGTCACAGAAGATGAAGTCGTGGCAACAGCAATGACGGCAGTTGGGTTGGCGTCTGGCGGAGATGGCGTTGTGGCCGGAAGTCCGTTTGGGCAAACAGCCATGTCACGAGCGCTTGCGCTTAAAAATTTGTCATATTTTGGCAAGTGGTTTTACATCATTACGCTTGAAGAAAACAAGTCTACGGGGTGCTTATTTCTGTTGGCAGCCAGCATGTTTGTACTTGTTGTAGCGTTTTTGATTGAGCATGTGCGGTATATTTACTTAGGCATGACAACAAATGAAACAATGAAGTGGGAGGGTGTGGAGTATGCGATTCGCGACGGGACACTGTTTTACTATGCGCCACATAAATCTGCGCAAAGTGATTTACAGCTACAACAACAGCAGCAGCAACAGCAGCAGCAACAGCAGCAGCAACAACAACAGTCAGAAGAGCAGCAGTCTTTGGAAAGTGGTCATGAAGAGAACCAAGAACGGACATTATTTGAAAAGCGACTGAACGGTAGAATAGTAAGTGAACATGTTGCAGAAAATGATTCTGGGGTTGGAAGCAGTGCAAGCTCTAGCAGCCAAACCTCTTTGAATGATGAGAATTCCATTTTTTCAGGTGTCACCATAATCTCTCCTACTTCCGAACAAACATCTATCCCACATGCTAGTGCTCCTAGTGATTCTGCTATTAATGCTGTGGCACAACCTTTACCAACACACCAGCGAGCAACCATTGTGTTGCAGAAATTCCCTGATGGAACTGTGAACCGGCGCCTGAGCGCATACCAAGTGGACCGCATTGCGCGCGAAGGCCTACGGCTGCAACCTTTGACGAGTTCTGCGGATGTCAATAACATTTACGATGAAGGGTTTCTCAACAATCTGTATAACATTATGTTTCCCAAATCATTATAAAAAGTTGAGGAAAGAGAAAAATTAACATTTAAACCATAAGGATACGTTAAAAAATTTCCTCTTTGGTTATTAATGGACTGGGACAAAAGTGTTCAAGTTTTTTTTTTGTTTTATTTCTTTGAAAGCAGAAACTTGCAACGGCCGTTTTTCGGTATACACTGGTTACATTACTTTTTAAAGCTTAGCATAAATGTTTTTTTTTATTCACTTAATTCTCACAACATGTTTTGTAATTGTTTTTTTTTTTTTTAATCAATTTGTTTTCATTTAATAGTTACTCATTTATTTACAAGTTAAGCGGATTAAAAATGGCAGCATAGAGCCAGCGAGCCGCCCGTGGCACGCTCAACCGTGCATTGTGATACAAATCAATAAGCACCGTCCCTGACGCGCCTACTGTTCCTTTTTTGTTTGCTGGCGGTTGGGATACCAACATTTCGCGTGCTGTGGATTGTCCCCTACGATTCCGACTGTTATTTCCGTTGCTACGTTCTTCTTTTTCTTTCTCTTCTTCCTGATACTTATTTTTGCGCCCGTTTCTTGAGGCCGCGTGTTTGTACCTGGTCCCGGAATCAGTATCCCTTGAAGTGTGAAATGATTCATTATCCGAGTGCGGGACAGCCACACCAAACCGTTTACAAAGTAGCGGGTCTGGGGCCCAAGTTGAGACGCTGCGGGTTGTTTGTTCCGGAATTATTTCCTGAGCTTGGTCGCGGTCATTTTCCTCTTTAATAGCTCCTGTTGCAGAAGCTGCTGCTGTAAACACAATTGCACGTTTAGAGTCGGTGTTTGAAGAAGAAGAAGAGGATTGACCAGTTGCTTGTTGGACAAACGCATTAAGTTCGGCTGCAATTTGAGTTTCGGACCATCCCCTGAGCATTACATCAACATAAGGGTCTGCATAATAATTGGCCAATCCTGCGTTATGTTTTAAAAACATTTCATATCGGTACTCTTTAGCTTTTCCATCATAAATATCTTTTTCTTCACGTTTGTTAAAATTACTCTGGGCACCATGAGTATCTTCATCATATAGGGTAGTAACGCTTTGAGCATTAAAGCTATTTTGGAGGGCGGCCATTGCTCCAGCCATTGAAATCCTGGGGACAGTGGGGCGCGGCTGGCTCTGATGCATTAGGTTTTGTTGGTTTTGTGAGTTAGCATTGTAGTGCGGCGGGAATACCGAGAGAACTTTTAAAGGTTGTTGGTGTTGTTGGTGTTGTAATATTTCAGCCTGCTGAAACTGCAATGAGGACGATTGCAGATTCTTCTCTTGGCTACCACTAAGCTTATCTGCGTTAACCTTTGCTACAGTATTAGTTGTAGCACTTTTATCCTCGAGACCTGGCCCACAGTTAAAAACTGGAGGTTTGACGTCCCACCTTGACGCCCTTTTAGGCCTTCTTTTTTCTGGCCTTTCTTCTTCTGTCATTTTATTAATAATAGTAAGAGATTGATCTCCATCACTTTTCTCATTTTTTACACTAGATGAAGAGCATCCACCAATTGCCGAACTAGTAAGCTCAAAAGACCCCCCCGCGGGTACCATTGGAGGTACAGTCTCTTCTGTAGCCAAATATTTAGGGACATATTGATAGGTTCTCTGTAATGATGACAAAGACCAAATATTGATATCTCTAAAAGACGACAAATCGTCATCCCGTACAAAACAACCGTAAACAATAGGTTGAGGGCTTTCACTGCCACTACTTTGATTTTCGTGAACCAGATGCTTGACTTTGACAAACTGTGGCACGACCAACTTGGAACCTTCTGCATTCTCTGCAGGTTTAATGCGAGACTGAACAATGGAGGAGTTATTTTTTTGTTGATGTTTGATGTTACTCTTCTTTGGTAACAAGCTTGGGCCAGCCTCGTCTTCATTTTCGTAATAATCATTGGTTGAGGCAGCCGATACTGCAAGCTTCATATTAACGCGCCGTTTCTTTGTTTTCTTAAATGTCGGTAGAACAGATTCTTCTTGTTCATAGTCATTGTTAATGGACAATGGTTTCCTTATTGGTTTTGTGGGAGGTTTTGATGGTCGGGTAGGAGCATAACCAGTGTCAGTGCTTGGATTACTTTTAATAACTGAAGAAGAAGTAGTAGCCATGGCCAGCGTGGCACCTGAATCAACGCCTCTTTTGTCTGCCTCGGCGCGTAGATGACCAAACAAAAACAACGTTCCAGGATCCGACACTGTGTTAGTTCCATTAGCCCCTTCTTTATTTTCTTCTTTTTTTTTCCCGATCGAAGAAGAAGCTTGCCTGTTTTCAATTTGTGCGGCCAGTGACCATTCCAACCGTGCAGATTCAGGGGCTGTTAGTGTGCTAGTTGACAAAGATGTTACACTGTCACCACTACCACTTAAAACATAACCTCCAAGACTCTGGCCACGACGAGTTTGAGTGATAGGAATTAGCTGAATTCTTTTATTATAAGTTTTGAGATCCTCTGCATCCATGTATTTGTAAATTTCATTATTTTTTGAAGACAAAGATGAAGATAAATCTTTGGGTCTTTTGCCTGAACCATCACGAGAAAAACGAAAGGTAGAAGGAGTCCAATCGTCTTCAGGATCATGGAGAGAATCGATTGTAGATGATCGGTAGAGCAGTTCATTGTTAAATCCGGAGACTCGGCCATGGTTGAGGTACTTTTCCTTTTGTTGTTGATGGCCCGAATCACGAGATTTTGCCTTGCCCGAATCTTTCTGGTCAGCCACTGCTGATCCTAAATAGACAGTCATTGGTGGGAATGTTTCCAATTTCTTTATTTCTTGATTTATTTGTTTATTTGTTTATTTGTTTATTTGTTTATTTGTTTATTTGTTTATATGATTGAAGATAATTATAATAATAATAGTAAAAATAATCATAATAATAATAACTTCTAATTTTTTAGGCGGACTGAGTGTCCCGCAAAGAATAAAGATACTTCTTTTGTTGGAGGAGTCGTTTGTTGAGCTAAAAAAAATTAAAGATTTAGGCTTTTTTAAAAAAAAAAAAATAATAGGCATTAACCCTAACCTCAACCCTAATATTAAATATCTGTGATATTTTCGGCGATGGAAGTTCCTTAAAATAAAAGTTTTTTTTTTTCCAGCCAGTCAACAACAAAAATTTAAGCTTCGTTACCCGGCCGGCCACATGCATCCGACTAGAAGCGTGCTACGTAGCATATCACACAGAAAAACAGCAGACAGGGTCTTTTTTTATTATTATTATTATTATTATTATTATTATTATTATTATTATTATTATTATTATTAAAATTTTTTTTTTTCAATATATATATTTATTTAAACGCGTGTCATTAGTTAATTTTTTTTTTTAAAATAAAGATTTTGAAATTAATATATATAATTAAATAATAAATAGTTTTAATATAAAAAAAAAACCAATTGAGATCAATTTGTTTTATCTATTAAAGCCTGTGAAACAAAACTTGGCTGAGAAAAAAAAAAAAAAAAAGAAAATCCACTTTTTTTTTATGCGTGTGTGTGTGAAAAAAAAAAAAAGAACAGCAACAATATTAATAGGGATTATTATTATTTTTTTATTTTTTTATTTTTTTTTTTTTTATTATCATTATTATTATAGTAGTAAGCATAGTCTTAGTGGTGGTACTATATATATTTTACTTTAGTATACACACAACCACCACAAATTCCAACAAAACCATCACCACCAAAAAACTCCATCATCATAACCTTCTTCTTTATCTCACTCACTCTCTTCTTTTCTCTTCATCCCTCCTTCCTCTTCCCCTCACCCAGCATAGATGCAGAAGATCCCCCTGCAGCAGCTCGGCTCTGGCCCCATCGCTAATGCCTCGCCGGGATCAATAGACATGTCACAACTTCGCCAACAGCAGCAGCAACTCACTCCAAACCAACAACAACAACAGCTTCAACAACAACAACAACAACAACCACAGCCTCAGTTTTTGCAAATGCCACAACAGCTTCATCAAGTTTCTCCGCAACAGATTCAGCAGATTCCTCCGCAACAGCTCCAGAATCTACAACAGCAATTTTTACAGCAGCAGCAGCAGCAGCAGCAGTTTCAACAGCATCAGCAGTTTCAACAACAGCTTCAGTTACAACAACAACAACAACAACAACAACAACAGCAGCAGCAGCAGCAGCAGCAGCAACAACAACAACAGCAGCAACCACAACAGCAGCAGCAACAACAACAGCCACAGCCACAGCAGCAACTGCACTCACAACAGGGTCAATCTGCAGCAGCTGCAGCAGCAGCTGCGGCCGCGGTGGCCTCTGGATTACCTCCTGGACAAAATATGTTTCTTACGAATCAACAACTGCAAGCCTTAACTTTTGCACAGTTCCAAGCCCAGGCTCAAAATCAGCCTTCTCAAATTCAAATACCTGTGCAAGCGCAGGCTCAAGCCAGGGCACAAGCACAGGCACAAGCTCAAGCTGCTCAGGCTGCTCAGGCCGCCCAAGTCCAAGCGCAAGCGCAAGCGCAGGCTCAAGCACAGGCTCAAGCACAAGCACAAGCACAGGCACAAGCACAAGCTCAAGCACAAGCTCAGGCTCAGGCTCAAGCGCAAGCACGAGCACAAGCACAGGCTCAGGCTCAGGCTCAAGCACAAGCACAAGCACGAGCACAAGCACAGGCTCAGGCTCAGGCTCAGGCTCAAGCTCAGGCTCAAGCGCAAGCACAAGCGCAAGCGCAGGCTCAAGCGCAGGCTCAAGCGCAGGCACAAGCTCAAGCGCAGGCTCAAGCACAAGCTCAGGCTCAGGCTCAAGCGCAAGCACGAGCACAAGCACAGGCTCAGGCACAGGCACAGGCTCAGGCACAGGCACAGGCTCAGGCTCAGGCTCAGGCTCAGGCTCAGGCTCAGGCTCAGGCTCAGGCTCAGGCTCAGGCTCAGGCTCAGGCTCAGGCTCAGGCTCAGGCTCAGGCTCAGGCTCAGGCTCAGGCTCAGGCTCAGGCTCAGGCCCAGGCCCAGGCCCAGGCTCAAGCACAAGCACAAGCACAAGCACAGGCTCAAGCACAAGCCCAAGCCCAAGCTCAAGCTCAAGCTCAAGCTCAAGCTCAAGCTCAAGCTCAAGCTCAAGCTCAAGCACAAGCACAAGCACAAGCCCAAGCACAAGCACAAGCCCAAGCACAGGCTCAAGCTGCTCAAGCTGCTCAGGCCGCCCAAGCCCAGGCTCAGGCTCAGGCTCAAGCACAAGCACAGGCTCAAGCACGGGCTCAAGCACAGGCTCAAGCACAGGCCCAAGCCCAAGCTCAAGCTGCTCAGGCCGCTCAGGCCGCCCAAGCCCAAGCCCAAGCCCAAGCCCAAGCTCAAGCTCAAGCTCAAGCACAAGCTCAAGCTCAGGCTCAAGCACGGGCTCAAGCACAGACTCAGGCTCAGGCCCAGGCTCAAGCACAAGCGCAGGCTCAAGCGCAGGCTCAAGCACAGGCTCAAGCACAAGCACAAGCACAAGCACAAACTCAAGCACAAGCTCAAGCACAAGCACAAGCACAAGCTCAGGCTCAAGCTCAAGCTCAAGCTCAAGCGCAAGCACAAGCACAAGCACGAGCACAAGCTCAAGCTCAGGCTCAGGCTCAAGCGCAGGCTCAAGCGCAGGCTCAAGCTCAGGCTCAGGCCCAGGCCCAGGCTCAAGCACAAGCACAAGCACAAGCACAAGCACAAGCACAAGCACAAGCACAAGCACAAGCACAAGCACAAGCACAAGCACAAGCACAAGCACAAGCACAAGCACAAGCACAAGCCCAAGCACAGGCTCAAGCTGCTCAAGCTGCTCAGGCTGCTCAGGCCGCCCAAGCCCAGGCTCAGGCTCAGGCTCAGGCTCAGGCTCAGGCTCAGGCTCAGGCTCAGGCTCAGGCTCAGGCTCAGGCTCAGGCTCAGGCTCAGGCTCAGGCTCAGGCTCAGGCTCAGGCTCAAGCACAAGCACAGGCTCAAGCACAGGCTCAAGCACAGGCTCAAGCACAGGCTCAAGCACAGGCTCAAGCACAGGCTCAAGCACAGGCTCAAGCACAGGCTCAAGCACAGGCTCAAGCACAGGCTCAAGCACAGGCTCAAGCACAGGCTCAAGCACAAGCCCAAGCCCAAGCTCAAGCACAGGCTCAAGCACGGGCTCAAGCACGGGCTCAAGCACAAGCACAAGCACAAGCACAAGCACAAGCACAAGCACAAGCACAAGCACAAGCACAAGCACAAGCACAAGCACAAGCACAAGCACAAGCACAAGCACAAGCACAAGCACAAGCACAAGCACGAGCACAAGCTCAGGCTCAGGCTCAGGCTCAAGCGCAGGCTCAAGCGCAGGCTCAGGCCCAGGTTCAAGCACAAGCTGCTCAAGCCCAACCTCAAGGTGGGCCTAATACTCCAATTCAGATACCTGTTCAAGCTCATACTCAGGCTGTCCAGGCACAAGTTAGGGCTCAAGCCCAAGCACAAGCACAAGCCCAAGCCCAAGCCCAAGCCCAAGCTCAGCTCCAGGCCCAGGCTCAGGCTCGTGCACAAGCTCAAGCGCAGGCTCAAGCTCAAGCGCAGGCTCAAGCACAAGCTCAAGCAAGAGCAGCTCAAGTAGCTCAAGCCCAAAATCAAAACCAACAATCCCGTTTACAAGGTCCTGGGGGTCTCCAGATACAACTGCCCAGTCAACCTATTTCTGTCCCTCCAGGAACGATCCCACAAACTCCAAACTCTATTTCTGTTTCTACGCCGGCTCAACAAAATGCCTCCTCGATAGCGTCTGTTCCAAGTGCAGGAAATACTCCAAACTCATCTGGAACCGCGCCAGGATCGGCCGCCCACAGACCGAACCGTCCCACCCCTACTACCCCGGGACCAATGAACAGCATGAATCTTCAGGGCCCTAATTCCGATAATAATAAGGGCGTTAATGTACCAGCAGGTGTGTCCATTAATGCAGGAGCTGCACCTCGGCCAGTCGGTATGCTTTTTTCTGTCTAACTTTATTTTTTTTGTTTCTCCCCACCATTTTTTTCTTTAAACTAACATGTATACCTATTTAGCAGGACCTATAACAGTCAATGGAACCCCAGTGATTGCACAGAATATGACCAATAATGCTAATATTGCTAATCAAACAAGTGCGCCTGTGGCCCTCAATTCAATGTATATGCAACGGCTCCAACCTCAGCAACAACAATCCCAGCAGCAACAACAACAACAACAAGCTCAACAGCAACAGCAAACTCAGTTGGCTGCTCAAGCACCAATCCCCAGTCAGATCGGTCCGAGCCAAATACAAGGTCCTCAGACTCAATCACAGGCCCAAGCTGCCCTTCAGTCCCACCAGTCGCCTCCTCAGGCTTCTCCCAGCATGACCCCAAATCTCAGCAATAATCCTCAGGCATTTAAGCAGCAGCAGCAGCAGCAGCAGCAACAACAACAACAACAACAGAATCACCCCCAGGTTATTGCACAATCAATCCAACCACAACAGCAAATGCATCCTTATTATCTTCCTCAATACCAATTTCAGTTCCAGCCTCAACAAGTCTTCATGACACCTCAGCAGGCACAGCTCCAGCAAATGGCTCAACAGCAAGCAGCGGCACAGGCAGCAGCTCAAGCTTCTCAACTACCGCAGCAGCAACAGCAGGTGAAAACACCAGTTCCACAAGTAGAACAGCAAAAGCCAATGCTACCAGGTCAATCTGGCCAGCCAGGTCAACAACAGTCACATCCACCTCAGATTTTGGCTCAGCCTTCGCAAGGATCGCCACATCCGCCAACTCCTACTCAGATCCCTTCGCAACAAATGCCAGTGCATCAAATCCCAATGCGCATGCAGCAGCAACAACAGCAACCACAACAGCAACACAGAACAACACCAAAACCTTCACCAAGCTCTCTACCTTCTAACCAATCTCCTGTTATTCAGATGCAGCATCCGCCCATGATCGTTGGACAAGCTAGCCTTCCTTTTGGTCAACAACCTACTCCTCAGCAGGGTTCGCGACCATTGGGAATGTCTGCTGGTAGCCCGCCTCCTACTTTAAAGGTCATTAACCAGTCACGTCACCCGTCTCATGGATCTCCTCATCTTGGTCACCATCAATCTCCTCACCAGTCGCCGTTGCTCAATGGCCAACTATCTCGGCCAGGATCTCAGACCCAAACCCATCCTTTTAACCCCCAGCAAACACCCCGTATGGCTGCTCATCCCCAGATACAGACCCCTTCTCGGACTCCAACACAGCAACAGCACCCACAACCGCAGATGATGGTCCAACCGCAACCGCAACCGCAACCGCAACCGCAACCGCAACCGCAACCGCAACCGCAACCGCAACCGCAACCGCAACCGCAACCGCAACCGCAACCGCAACCGCAACCGCAACCGCAACCGCAACCGCAACCGCAACCGCAACCGCAACCGCAACCGCAACCGCAACCACAACCGCACCAACAGCAGCACCAACAGCAGCACCAACAGCAGCACCAACAACAGCAACAGCAACAGCAACAGCAACAGCAACAGCAACAGCAACAGCAACAGCAACAGCAACAGCAACAGCAACAGATGATGTCGCAACAACATCCAGGCCAACAACAGCCGGACCAACAACAGTCAGGCCAACAACAGCCAGACCAACAACAGTCAGGCCAGCAGCAGCAACTGCAACTGCAACAGCACCCACAACCGCAGATGATGGTCCAACCACAACAGCAACCACAACAGCAGCATCAACAGCAGCACCAACAGCAGCACCAACAGCAGCACCAACAGCAGCACCAACAGCAGCACCAGCAGCACCAGCAGCAGCACCAGCAGCACCAGCAGCACCAGCAGCGGCAACAGCAGCACCAGCAGCAGCGCCAACAGCAGAAGCGGCAGCAGCAGCAGCACCAACAGCAACAGCAAAAGCAAAAGCAACAGCAACAGCAACAGCAGCACCAACCACAACAGCAGCACCAACCACAACAGCAGCACCAACCACAACAGCAACCACAACAGCAACCACAACAGCAACCACAACAGCAGCACCAACAGCACCAACAGCACCAACAGCACCAACAGCACCAACAGCACCAACAGCACCAACAGCACCAACAGCACCAACAGCACCAACAGCACCAACAGCACCAACAGCACCAACAGCACCAACAGCACCAACAGCACCAACAACACCAACAGCACCAACAGCAACAGCAACAGCAACAGCAACAGCAACAGCAACAGCAACAGATGATGTCGCAACAACATCCAGGCCAACAACAGCCAGGCCAACAACAGTCAGGCCAGCAGCAGCTAGGCCAACAACAGCCAGGCCAGCAACAGTCAGGCCAACAACAGCCAGGCCAACAACAGCATCATATGATATCGCAACAACAACCAGGCCAACAACAGCAGCCAATGGCTCCTCAACTTCAGGGTGATCCACAAATGGTACTTCATCAATCTACACCTCAGGGTGAAGCGCAACAGTTGCAATTGCAAGGCCAACAACAGCAACCAATGGCTCCTCAACATCAGGGTGATCCACAAATGGTACTTCATCAATCTACACCTCAGGATGAAGCGCAACAGCTGCAATTACAAGGCCAACAACAGCCTCATCCCCAACCCCCGCTACAACAGCAACAAATTGTACGACCTCAAGGCCCCGCACAACAGCAGCAACAACAACAAAGACAAGCGTCAATAAAGTTAGTGCCTGGTGACAATGCATCGAAAAACAAAACGGCGCCATCAACACCGGCTTCCACAGGATTATCGTCAACTGATGGTTCTTCCACACCAATGATGATACCAACCACTACTGGCACAGCTGTAGTTACACAAGCTCCTTCAGACACACCCAATGCAACTAACCAAGGTCCAGAGGGTATGAATCCCCAGCAACAAATAACTCTTCCCTCATCTGGTGCTGGGCCTCCCGTTGTCACTCCAGCGACTACCGCTGCCGCTGTTGCAGCAAACTCCGGAATTACAATGCAAATGGTCCCAACTCAAACTGCAAATGAGGCTCCAGGAGCCTCCCAAGTTGCAACGGCAGGTCCTGATGGTGTGCTGCGGTACTCGGGTCAACAAATGGCGCAGCTAGGGGCTCTTGGTGCCACTACGGCAGTTGCACCTGTGGGTGCAGTCGCGCCTCCTGGACAAGTGCAACTCACCCCGCCAAACCACTTCTACAAGCAACTTGCTGTTCTCAAGCTTATGAACTTTTGTGAAGCTCTCAACAGTGAGTCAGATGGCCGATTTGATTATGAGTTTTGGCGACAACGCATTGCCGAATATTTTTCCGATTCTGGTGTGCTCAAATTCTCAATCAACAATGGTACCGAAACAAAAGCCTTTGAGCTTCCGGCATCGCTTCTTTCCCGGTTTTATCTTTCTTTTGTCAAATCTGGCGTCAAAAGAATTCAAACCCACCTTGAAGGATGTCGCTCAATTCACGGAGCAAATTGCTGGGTTGTAGAATGCACACGTACATTTGTGACATACCACCACGATGACGGGTCCATGGTGACGTCACACGGGTCAATCCGCACAGTGTTCAACTCGCGCATGAAAATTGAGCTCATGGAACAAACAACGCATGACCACGATGAGTTCATCAAACGTAGTGCCGTGCTCAAGTTTCTTGAAAACAACGCTACTAAATCCGCTGCTGAAGCCTTTGAGCCCAAGCTTCACCCCTTTGGCATTACCGAGGATGTTTTGACTTTTCTTAAAGTTTCGGAAACCTTATACCACATGCGAGACATTATGATGCACTCCAAACAGTCTAACGAAGGACCATACAAATCCTTGCAAATTTTGGCTGCTGCCCTGCCCCAAAATTCCCTTGCTCTAATACCTTCTAATACCCAAATCAGTAGTGCTCAAAATAGCATCTCTACCCCCACAGCTGCAACAGCGGGAAATTCTCAAGCAATGCCATTAAAGCAGATGCAGCAATACCAGATGCAATTGCAAATGCAAATGCAACAACAGCAACAGAAACAGCAACAGCAGCATCAAGGCACTGGCACTGGCACTGGCACTGGCACTGGCACTGGCACTGCACAAAATTCACAGCCTCATTTCATTCCATACCAGCAGTTTTTGCAAACATCTGCTGGTCAACAGCAGCAACAGCAGCAACAACAGCAACAGCAGCAGCAGCAGCAACCGCAACAGCAAGTCATTGCAACAGGTGCTAACGGGAAACACGTTATAATTAACCCTCAAATGCTGACCCAGCAACAACAAATCGCTATGGGTCCTGGGGTCACGTTGCTGCAGTCTAATTCGCATATCCATGGGTTGCCAGTCCAGCTCCAACGCTCTAAATCCTTCCAGATAGGATCAACCGTCAATCCAGGCGCCATTCTTGTTTCTGGCGCATCTTCATCTCCCGCCACCCCATCTGCCTATTCTATCAAAAAGATTGAAGAGATTTCCTCTAGTGCGGGAAGCAATAGCGGTTCCAGTACTCCCAATAATGGTGGAGCAAACAACAGCAATGGTAAAGCACATGTTGCCAATGGCGGTCCCGTAATGGCCAACGTCCACGTAAATTTCAATGCAGAGCCCAACGGATCTATAGCTCCTGGAAGTAGTGACGAAAAGTCTGGCACCGACCGCAAAAAGGTGGCAGGTCTTGAAAATGGCAAGGCTGACAGAAGAAGTGACATTAGGACACCTGGACCAATGGCCAACGGAAATATATCTAATTTGGTGCTCCAACAACAGGGTCAGTTTGCAACGCCGCAGGGTCTGGTCGGCATGGCCATGGGTCCAGTGCAAGGACCTTTCAATATTAAACAAATGAATGGAATGATAATGGGACCAGGTGGAAATACCATGCAGTTCATGTCCCCAACTGCAGGGATGGAAGGGATTGCAACAATCACCACTGGGCCTTCTGCTCAGCCTGTTGCAGTGCCTACCCCTTCTTCTTCAGCCGGTGCAACCCCAACAGCCTCTGCGCCTTCTCCAGCGGCATCCGGAGTGACACCCAAACTTTCAAATAGCTCCACTTTCCCTTCCACAGGGTCTGTGGCCGGACACAAACGGCGGCGCACTAGCTCTAAGGTTGATCCTCTAGACACGTCGTCAATCAAAGGAGGAAACGTCTTGGCGGGATCTAAACTCCAGAGCATGGGTGGCGCTGCCGGTAGTGCTATGGCTGGTGGTAAAGGTGCAGGGAAACACATGTCGCCCAAGCATCGGACTAGTCCTAAGGTTGCTAAAAAGAGTTGAATCAAGTTAACTTAATGTGTTAACTAAAAAAACAAAGAGATTTACTTTTCATTTATGTTATATCTTTTTCATTTTCATGTTTATTTTTTTTTCTACACTTTATTGTATTTATACATTTTTTATTTATTTGAATTATCATAAAAGTTTCTTTATTAAGAACAATATATTTGCATTATAATACTATTATCAAAGCTACATGTGAATGATGATCCACGATTGGTATTCTTTTTTTTTATAAGCATTGCAAGAACTGACAAATTCAGATTGTCCAACGATTGGATATAAAAAAAATCAAATAAATACTATAAAATCAATAGATGTTTACAGCAAGTAAAGTTGGCGCTTAGATATGAGAAAAGTCTAGTGTTTTGTTAAGGTCATACTTGGTAGCTATATCTAGATATTTTTCAGTCTTTAAATGAAATAATTTTCAAGGTTTCACAAATCTTTGAAAGAAAAAAAGTTTGTTATTTTTTATATTGGCAAATATTAGGTCTTTCAACAATACAAAAGAAACTATACCCTGAGGCAATTTATTAGACTCTTAAATCAAACGCAATCACATACCCAAACACAATGATTGACTTCTTTTTTAAATACCAATAAATGTATACCTAAGCCTCTGAATTGCTTTGATCTTTAACAAATTGCATAATTCTGACAAATTTCAGATGTCAATTTTCTTTTTCTTTTTTCTTTTTTTTCTTTTCCAGTTTAATACTGCACTGCATAACTAAACACGCATGCGCTTCGTAGAACCTCTTCTTTTCTTCATTCTTATTCCTATTCTTTTACAAAAACTCCTGCTGCTGCCTTACTTTCATTCTGTTTTAGATTTTCTTTCTCCATTCTTTCTCCACTAACGGATTTATGATCCGCTGAGGTATAGAACCTTCCATGGTTTATTGGTAATTTTTTGTGTAACCCTAGTGTCTTTTCACGCCTTTTTTCATAAATTATTACGATGACGTTTGTTCCAGCATTAAAAGAAAAAAAAACTATAAAAAAAGTAATGAAAAACAAGCAAACAAGTTTGTTTGCAAGAAATCGGAGTGATAAAATGCATGGAAAAAAGTGATCATAAAATATTTTCCATATTGTTTAAATCGATTTCAAAACAAAACTCATTTAGCTCATCAATACCTCAACCTATTATTTGTTATTGCCTTAATCTTTTAAGTGATATTTTAAAGCAAATAGCAAACATGTGGCATACTTTTCCAGTTTTATGTCATCGTGGCAAATGCAGCAAAAGATGAAATAGCCTTCAAATTTTCTTACAAGTTAACTGTTTTTAGTTATAACATAATGATAATATATATATATATTATTATTGTTATTTTTGTCTGCCTGTTCTGGAGCAGAATATAATGAATTACAACCCCAAGATAAGTTGGGTGGTTTCATCTCCCTTGGCATTAATGATAAAAGCAAACTACTTTATTGAATAAAACATTAAGTAATCACTTTATTTGAAAGAAATTTACTAAAATTGTTATTTCATAAAAAAAAATTAACTTTTTAAACAGTTTTGCTTACTAGGATTTATAAAAATTCTGAGCCCTTGTTTCTTTTGTTCTGTTTGCACCTTTTATTATACACAGTACATGTGTATTGCGCACTAATACCTGTAGATCTTTTTTTTTCTATCGATATATTCCGCGTTATAAAATTTGAATAAAAAGCCTTTAACACAGGTCTTAAGAAAAAGACAAATCCACAATGCGAGCTCCCTCATTCAGATCTGCGCTTTTCTTTGAAGAATAAAAATGTGGGAAAAAGAAATTAATCTTATTTTTTTTTCCCCTTGTGTTTGAATGAGAATAAATTTGTTGTAACCTATATTTTGTGCTTGAAAAAATGAGGAACTTTCATTATGAATAGTTTCGTTTTTTTAATCAACTATGCAACTGGTTAGTTTTAGTTATAACTATTCAAATATATCATTCAATAAAATTAATGATGAATAATTGACAAACATTATGTTCAATAAATGTTAAATAAGACTAAAATATTAATTATTTGTATTCTAAATGATTATTGAGAAAAAAATCAAGCATATCTGAGCGATGATTTATTAAGCTTGCTTATTTTTATTTCTTTTTTTTTAGATGCACAGAATCCCGACGTTAAAACATTGCAACTGTAAATTCATAAAAAAACTCGGTAAAGGTTCAAAATTAAACTGTTATTTCTAAAAGAAAAGAAAATGTAATAACTAAAATATTTAAGAAACTATTAATATTAATAGTATATATATATATATATTTCAATAACAATAATATTCAATTTTGAATTCTGAATAAAAAAATGAAAAAAATGAAAAAAGAAAACTGAATATTAAGCAAAAAAATATGTGCTCTCATAAAAAAATAATTACGTATTTTTTTTATTAAATGTACCAAAGAAATTCTAGGCTAAAAGATCGTTTCTAAAGTGAATTAGTTTTAAGATAGATTTCAGTAGTATCATTTTCTTTGAAGATCTCGGGTTATTTATTTGCTGTAAATGAAGTATCATTTAAATTCCCTTCTGTAATAGATTGGTTTCTTAATGAATTGTTATTTAGTTGAACTAAATTGAAAAATTTTCACTGTTTAAAAATTACTTTATTATTTCGGTAAATCATTGATTTTGACAACTATTTCTAGTTTAGTTAATCAAATGTCTTGGACTTTTCATCTATCCATATGTTTTTGATTTTTCCTTCAACAATTTTTCTTGTATGTCTTATATTTTCATTATTAAAACTGTAGTTATTTCAAAGTAAAAAAAAAAACTCAATCGTTATGATTTCATTGAAGGCGTAAACATTGTGCTGCTGCTAATTTTGATGCTCTCTGCCAAAGTTACAATAAAACAACTTAAATTGTACAATATTAGAAGCTTTTCAGTTGGATAATTTTATGGTAACTATCTATGCCAGATGCTATTAAAAACAATCAATTTTTTTTAAAAAAAAAAAGGGTTGGAGTTGTTAAAACTAACCTTTGAGACTGTGTGGCTTTCTTAAACATGGGTCTAAGAGCTTAATGAAAAGAAGGTTGGATAATAACAGCTTTGTCAAGTTTAGTTTTTTTTTTTTTTTTGAACGCAATTTTTTCTAATAATAAAATGAATATATTTCTGGGCTTTTGAAAAACCATTTAAATGGACCAATTTTTGTTAGATTCGTGACTTTTTTTTCTTCTTCTTCTTCTTCTTTTTTTCATCACAGTCTTTTCAGTTTTATTCAATCCTTACTTTTCGTCTTTAAAAAAATACTATAAACTATTTCTTCTGTTTATTTTATTTACTCAACAGTAGTTAATTAATTCCTTTAAACTAAAAAAAAATGAAATTTAACAACGCTCTTTACCTTATGTTTGTTGCTTCAGCTGTGGCTGCTCCAATTGCCGCTCCAGTTGCTGGAAATACCTCCTCAGGAACTTTAAAGTCTGGTACTAGTTCCTTGGGATCAATTTCCGGATCAACAGGCTCTAAAACTGGAACTACCGGTTCTACGGGTTCTACGGGTTCTACGGGTTCTACGGGTTCTACGGGTTCTACGGGTTCTACGGGTTCTACGGGTTCTACAGGTTGAACAAGTTCCACTAGTACTACAGGAGCTCCTGCAACTACTACTAGCTCTGGGATTGCAACTAGTACTTCAACCGGTACCTCTGGTTCAAGTAGATCGACTGGAACCTCTGGTTCTACCACCATCAACAATGTGACTGGTGGTAACGGTACTGGTGGCAATGCTTCAGGCACTGGAAGCACTGGTGGCACCGGTATTGGCGGTTCTGCATCTTCTGGAGTTACCAACTCTGGTTCGGGCACTGGAAATTCGGGCACTGTTTCTAGTTCGACTGGTACTACAAGTGGTTCAACTGGATCTAATACCAACTCAAAAGGCTCTTCAACCGGTTCTACTGGGTCTACTGGGTCTACTGGGTCTACTGGGTCTACTGGGTCTACTGGGTCTTCTGGGTCTACTGGGTCTTCTGGGTCTACTGGGTCTACCCGCTCCAATACGAATAGTTCAACTAACGGATCAAGTGGCACTGGCAGTGGTTCGACTGGCTCAACTACTGGTTCAACTGGTTCAACTGGTTCAAATTCGAGTTCTGGCTCTGGCTCTACTTCCTCTGGCTCTGGTTCTGGCACTGGCTCTGGCTATGGCTCTGGCTCTACTTCCTCTGGCTCCAAAACGGGTTCAAAAACTGGATCTACTGGTGCTACTGGTGCTACTGGTACCACAGGCTCTACCACAGGTACAGCCACGAGTTCTACCACTGGCTCTTCCACTGGCTCTTCCACTGGCTCTTCCACTGGCTCTTCCACTGGCTCTTCCACTGGCTCTTCCACTGGCTCTTCCAAATGGTTCTAATGGTTCTAATGGTTCTAATGGTTCTAATGGTTCTAATGATTCAACTGGCTCGTCGGGCTCATCTGGATCTAGCAGCTCCAATAAGGGAAGTTCCTCTGGTTCCAAAACTGGAACTTCTAGTGGCTCTTCAGGTGCAACTGCTACTACAGGATCTGGTGCAACTACTACTAGCAGTGGTTCAGGTTCTAGTACATCTAGCGGTTCGACAAGCTCTACTGGTTCTAGCGGTTCAACTGGTTCCAATACTGGCTCAACTGGCACCAATACTTCCACAGGTTCAGCCTCAAGTGCTACAAGTACTACCAACAAGGCGACTGGTGGTTCGGGTACCGGCGGTTCTGGGGGGTCTGCCACTGGGGGGTCTGCAAGCAGCAAAAGCAGTAGCATTCCGTCGTCGTCATCATTTTCTAGTGCTACAGGAGGGAATGGGACTGGAGGGTCAGCAACAGGTGGGTCTGGAGGGTCAGCAACTGGAGGTTCGGCAAAAACTACGGGAAGCGGAACAGCAACAGGAGGAAACGGGTCTGGAGGATCTGGGGGATCAGCAGTTGCAGGATCTGGAGGGTCTGGTACTGGAGGAAATGCAAAGAGCACTTAAGAAGGTGGTATGGGTACAATACTTGGTATTTTAAAAGAGAGATATGATTTATTTATTGAGAATATATATTTTTTTGTACTGCTGGACAGAACAATGTAAAAAAAAAAAAAAAAATTTAAAAATATATGTTAAAAGTTTGTTGCATCTGTATTTTACTTCATCCTCAAATTTTGAGGCTTTGTTGGGTTGAGGAAAAGTTGGGGTATTCAAATTGAGAAAAAAAAATGATATGTTATAGTTAATTCAATTGATTTAAATTTGAATCCTTATATTAGTGTACCTTTATAAAAAGAGATTTTATATTTTGTTGTAAGAAATAAAATAATTTGTGTGGGTGATATAAATGAATTTCCTGCAAAAAAAAAAAAAAAAAAATTTAATCCATGTTAAAAAAAATGATTTACACAAAATTTTAATTTTTTTTTTTACTTTTTCAGTTAAGTTTTATCGATATGTTTCTTTTAGTAAAAAACTTAATTACTAAGAAAAATGAAACGATTATTTCATAGAGCATATAAAAGGGGATTTCTTTTTTGACTTAAAGAAAATTATAAAGAGATTTTAAAAGAGTAAAATTTATTTGATACGGTAATAATAAATTATAATAATTTATTATTCAAAAGTTGGTAAAGTTGATAAAGTTAAAAAAAAAAAAAAATAAATAATTTAATTACAAATTGTCACATGATTTGTACTTTATAAAGTAATTACTTTGTTTTTTTTTTTCTCTCTCTTTTGTTTCATTTTTTTTTATTATTTTTTTGAACGAGGAAATCGCTTTGCGTTACTTTTTAAAGAGTTTGGAAAGGAGGGTATGTGTTTATGTTTATGTTTGTGTGTGTCTTATTTTCTGTTCTTTTTTAGCACAATAGGATATATCCAGGCGTTGGTAGAATTACACACAACAAAAAAATAAAATAATAACAAAAGTGGTAACAAAGTGGTTACGACTTGACCACTACGAGTTGTAACTTTTTTTTTTTTTTTGAAAAGAGAATTCGCATGGTCAAGAAGGAAAATATGGACCATGAAGGTGAGTGAATTTTATTTTTTTGAAGGGTGATGCAGGAATTCCATTAATTTGATTAAAAAGTACGACGCATTTTATATATATAAGTATATATAGGTATATATATATATATACATATATATACATATATATACATATATATACATTGCAAGTTATTTTAACAACCTTTGTTTGATGGAAGTAAATTGTTTTGTCAATTCAATCGAGCATTGACTGGTTTTTTTCTTAGTAGCGAATGATGATGACCTGGCACTTGTTCAAATTTGAGGAAGTGGCTAAAGTAGATAGAATAAAATTTGGCTTCGTATTCATTTTTTTTTTTTTTGAATACAAAAAAACACCTCGAGTGAAAAAAAAAATAGATTATCCATTTTTTGAATATAATATTCATTTTGTTTAAAAAAAATCTAAATCCAAATTCATATAAAGATAATAATACATTTATTTTTTTTTATTTTTTTTAATATTTATTTATTTAAATGTAAAAAAAAAAATATATTTTTTACAATACTCAAAAACTAACAATAAAATAACAACAATTAGAGAAATAATTTTTACAAATCAGCTCTTGGTAACAAAAAATCCATAAGAGCATCCTTCCCCTTGAGTTTCAACAGTTTTTGAATGGCAATCAAATGGGTTCGTTCTTCTGGAGACATATATCCGTCCAAAGTCACAGAAAAGTCGTAGCCAGCACTGTTGTTGCCACCACTATTATTACTGCCATCATTGTTTGAAGAAGAAGATCCACCAGATCTCAATCTCGAAGAAACACGACTTGCTGTTGGTTCTGGACTAGCAGAAATCTCATTGCGCAAGCTAGACCCTGTGCGTCGGGTATTATAGCGACCTTCTTCAGCTGCTGCGTGAATCTTATTGTTTGCAATTTGAGACGCACGCCGAGATCCAGTAGTAGCCTTACGTAACATGGAGCCTGATAATGAGCCGCCACCATTATTACTACTGCCACCACCACTACCACCACTGTGCAAATTCCCATTCCCATGAGATGGTGCATCTTTGACAAGAAGTTCGCCCAGATCATCAGAGTTACCAAGCGCAGCATCAATCAAAATCTCAAGCTGCTTGCGCGCCGTGGCTGTTGCCTCATCTGGGCTATCCTTGGCCTGCAAGTAGCACAGGTTACGGACTCCCTCTCGGACATTGTTTTCACGCGTCGCAAGCTCGTCAAGAGCCAATAAAATGTCGGAATTGTGAGTATCTTGGTAAGGCTCTGCGTTGCGCTCATGAACAGCTTGAATAAAGTCAAGTTTGACACCACGTTCTGGGATGCGATACACGACACCATTTTGAGTAATAGGCTTCAAAATAGAGTTTGGCACAGGAGCAGAAATACCCGTGGGGGTATCATAATAGTCATTTAGAGGTACGCTACGCGCAAATTGCTCATTAAGCTCTTCATCCGAAGAGTTGAGGACGTCAATGTTGCCGTCATTTTTGAAGCCGCGACGGAGAGCGGTATCCAGGATTTTGGCTGTTTTGGGTTTCCGTCGCTTTTTATAGGCGTGATCTGCATGGTTGGGGCATTTCCATTTTGTGCCAATGGTTTTGACTGTGGGGAGAGGTGGATTCAAGCAATCAAGATGCCAGTTGAGAGAGCAATAATCGCAGCGCGCAATGGGGCCTCCAGTTAAAGATGATTTTTTGCACTTGTAGCAGAAAATAGGGTTACCATTCTTGTCAGTAAGGCGATATGGGTCTTCCTCAACAAAGCCTGAACGGGTACCTTTAAAGACTTTAGTGTCAGAATCCATGTATTCTCCGAGTTCATTTGAGGAGACCCCCTCAAATCGGGAGCGAATTTTCTTTGGCAAGACAAACTGGATTGGGTTGCGTCTGTCTAGCTGGTATAAAAGTTGGGAAAACAAGCCGCGTTTGTATTGTCTTGGTGGGTTTTGTTTGGCTACGCATTCCTTGCAAAACCATGCACCTTCTGGAAGCATGCTTTCGTCCAATGGTGGGTCAACACAGCTAAAGTGGAAAGATTTGGGGCACCCTTCACAGCACAGAAAACGGCCAGCACCATGGCAAGTTGCACAAAAGTCATCATTTGCAGCAGCCTCATCAACCTCATGATGTTGGCGAGTTCTTGTGTGGATGGATGTAGGATGATCTGGAGTCATTCTTTCATCGCTAAAAATGTTAGATATAAATTTATAAATTTATATTTTTTTGTTAGTGTATTCAACTTACCCTGCATTCTTTCTTCGTTTATTTGGACGTTTCCCCTTGAGAATATCTTCGGCCTGTCGTTTTAATGGAGAAGATAACAAAGTTAAATCAACATCTGAATGGGTATGATGAATGCCACTGCCATCTTCAAGAGATGAACCTGGCGGGGGTGTTCCTGTAGGTAAATGTGAATCTGCAGAATCATCAGCATTGTTTGCATTAATAAGATCTGGATTATTGGTCGTGGTGGTATTGTTATTATTATTATCATCATTATTAGTCAGCTGATTGTTGTTTATGATGTTGTTGTTATTGTTGTTGCTGGTACTTTCGTGATTATCGTGGCTGAGATTGGGGCTTGTTTGTGAGGGTTCAAAGTAATCATTGTTGATATTTTGATCTTTATTTCTGGATGTAGATGTTGTTGTTTGTGATTTGGTTTTATTGTTATTTTCATTATCCTCAAGATCTTGTGCAGACATAGTCTTCTTTTTATTATATTTTGAAGCAATGGGATCTGATTTTGCAGAGCTTCTGACAAAACTACCATTTGTGAGGCTTTCAGTAAAGTTTGTTTTGAGCTTGACAATGAGTTTTGATCTTCTAGATGAAATGTAATTTTTGTACAAATTTGAGGGAGATTTTGGTTCAGAAGGTGGCGAAGATTCAACATCATTTGACTGCAAATTTGAAGAAGTAGAAGAAGAAGAAGAAGAAGAAGAAGAAGAAGAAGAAGAAGAAGAAGGAGGAGGAGGTTGCACATTATTCTCCTGATTATTGGTTGAGGGTGTTGGTGAAGTGCTGACTGGTGGTGGAGTCAGATCTAAGCCTGCAGGACCTGATTTGGGTGGCGGTTGTGAATTTGTATTAGTTGTTGTATTGGAATTATTAGGCTCAGAAGAAGACCAGGAAGAAGAAGAGTTTTCGACACCAACCTTTAAAGAAAAGGGGATATATTGTTGATATTCATACAATTCCAAGTTTTCCGATTCAGGATCTCCTGAGTTGTTTAAATCAGTGCTTGCTATTGAATTGTTGAGAGCTGTTGGGGGCAAAGCAAAAGATTTGAATGGGGCAGCCTTGTCAGCAGCAGCAGTAATAGTAGTAGTAGTAGTAGTAGTAGCAGCAGCAACAGCGGTTGAGGAAGAAGAAGAGGCATTTGAGATTTGATTCAAGGCAATGCCATTTGAAGAAGAGCCATTGGGTCCGGATCCTTGTTGTTTTTTGCCACGTTGATGGGCGTTTGGTTTTTTAATCTTGGGTAAGAGTTTTTGAGGCGGGGGCGCGTCAAGAGGGTAGCCGGTGGAAGAAGGAGTAAGCTGTGCAATTTCGGGCTCCATCCAAAGATCCGGAAGGTCGTCATAAGAAAGGAAAACAGTGTTATGGTGACGCATGTTGCGATTAGAAGAAGAAGAAGAAGACGACGAAGAAGAAGAAGAAGAAGGTTTTTGAATTCCAGATGAAGATGATGTTGATTTTGACGATGATGATGATGATGATGATGATGATGTTGATGTTGATGTTGATGTTGATGTTGATGAGTTTGGGGGGGATGGTAAAATGGGTCTAAAAGTAGAAGAAGCTGAACCAGGAATAGAAGAAGGGATTATCATAGATTCTGATGCAGATGCTAAGTTTTCTCTATCCATTCGTAGGAAAGAAGAAAAAAGAATAGTTTTAAAGTTGATCTTGTTACTAAATGTTTTTTTTTTTTAAAAAAAAAATTTAATAATAATAAAAAAAAAAAAAAAAAAAAACGCGCTTAAAAAAAAAAAAATTAAAAATTAAAATAAAATTTGGTGGTGATGATGATGAAAGATGATGATGATGAAGATGCTGATGATTATTATTATTATTATTATGGTGATAGTATATTTTGGAAAATAAAAATTAAAAACAAAAACAAAAAAATTAAATTTTGGTAGCAGTGAGAAAAAAAAATAAAAATAAAAATAAAAATAAAAATAAAAAATTTAAAAAAAAAAAAAAATAAAAAAAATGACAGAAAGCGGCCAAGCTGTTATTTTTTTATTTTTATTTTATTTTATTATTTTTTTATTTTAATAATAATATATATACAAAACGGCTTTATCGGAAGTGAAAAAAATAAAATAAAATAAAATAAAATAAAACAATTGAATTTTTTTTAAGCTTTTAGTTAACTGAATATTTAAGTTATATTTCAAAAAATAAATAAAAACTCTCTTTTTATGAATTTTTTATATAAAACTTTTGGAGGTTTATTATAATATAAAAAATAAAATAAAATAAAATAAAATAAAATAAAAATAAAGGAGGAGGAGGAGGAGGAGGAGGAGGGGGAGGTATTGTTAGTGGGAAAAAAAAAAAAAAAAAAAAACTTCTTTTGGTAGTAAACAAGTAAACAAACAAAACAAAACAAAACAAAACTAAACAAAATTAAATTAAATTAAATTAAATTAAATTAAATTAAATTAAATAATCAAATCAACGCGTATCATCCGCCTAATAATAATTATTATTAATATTAATATTAATTATTAATATCAATTTTTTTTATTTAACTACGTAGTTAGTATTTATACTATACATTATTATAAAAATTGGAAAATATCCATTTTTTATAATTAAAAAAAAAAAAATTATTAAAAATTCAAAATGTGTCTATAGAAAAGATATAAAAAAAAAAAAAATATGGGGTATTTCTCTTCTATTCCGGTAGTTGGAGTGGAGGGATGGATTTTTTTTTTATTATTTTTTTTATTTTAAATTTTTTTTTTTTTTAAAAAATTTTTGTCATTAACAATTCATCATCATTATCATCAATATTATCATGGGTCACATAAAACTCATTACAAGGGATTGGCAATCAACTTGGCAGTCTCCTCGCTAGAAACCTTCTTCTCAGAGGTCAAAGTAGGAGTAGTAGGACCAGCAAGAATAACAGTGCCCTCAGGAGTAATGGCAAAAGTGGTAAAGAACTGAGCAACAACAGCATCAGGCTTCTCCTCAACAACATCATAAGCAATCAACAAGTTGTGGGAAACACATTCCTTAAGACCAAGACGAGCCTTGCGAATGTCAGCAGTCTCACGGAGAGTATAAGGGAAAGCACCAGCCTTCTTGTTAATCTCGGTATAAATGTTACGCGAAGATTGGAGCTTAAGCTGATAGGTAATTCCGCCCTTGCGGTAAATGGTGGTGGGGATCTCACCCTGGCGAACCTTGCCCTCACCAGAAGAAACCAAAATGTCAAGACCGTAAATCTCATTCTCAGCAAAAGTCTGGGTCTTAAAGTTACGCTTCTGGCTCTCAGTGGGGTTAAGAATAATCTCCTTATCACCCTCAACATTGTTGTGGAGCTGCTGGTGAGAAAGCATGCCCTCGAGAGCAGTGCAGCCAAAGTCCTTAACAACTTCGTCAACAATCTTGGTAACATCCCAGTTCTTGTTACCAGGCTTGATGGTACCAATGGCAGCCTGAGAAGCATTCCAAGCAGCAGCAATGGCATCAGCAGCCTTGGAGTCAACCTTACCATCGGCAGTGGGGATAACAATGGTGTCAGCAACAACACTGCCAAAGCCATCAATCTGGGCACCAAGAGTAATCTTGACAACATCACCAGCCTTGAGGGTAATCTCAGCCTCCTTGTCAGTCTTAAGAGGTGAAAGGTGAGCAACAATGTTGTTGGGAGAAACAGAAGTGGGGAAAGCAACAGCCTTGGGGATCTTGGAGTCTTCAGTGTAGACCTTGGCAAGTTCATCAACAATGAACTTGTCACCGGCAACAGTCAGATCAATGATCTTAGCGCCCTCAACGGCAAGAGACTTGACATGGGCCAAAGCAGCATTGGCAATGACACCAGCAGCCTTGTACTTGGCCAGAGTCTCAGGGTTCTTGAGAGTGCGGTCGACTATTGATTGCTTAGTTAGAACAAATGGATGTATGGATGGATGAATGAATGAATGGATCATTATTGGGATAAAACTATGTAAATACTACTTACCTTCCTTAACAGCGGGCTTGGCCATTTTGAATTATGATAGATTGAGTTGAATGGATTGAGTTTATAAAGTAAAGTGGATTTCAAAGGTTCCTTTTTAAAAGAATCAAATGGATGGAAAGAAAAAGATTAAAAAAAAATGAAAACCTTTTTTTTTTTTGCGATGTAAAAAAAATTTTTTTTTTGTTCTTTCTTAGTTCTCAATGAGTTTCCATCACCACCACCACCACCATTTCATTTTTTTTAAAAAAATTCCCTAACCCTTTATATCAATGTTCAATTCTGTACATTGACATTATTTTAAAAAAATATATTTTTTTAATTTAATTTTTTAATTTTTTAATTTTTTAATTTTTTAATTTTTTAATTTTTTAATTTTTTTAAAAAAAGATTCTCTGGCTTTTCGCTTCAAACTTCTTTGGGTTCCCAAAATGACTCTTCAATCCTCCTTTTTTATTTTTTTTTTTATTGGAAATTTTTCAACATTTCATTCATATAAAAAGCCGCCATTCCCCCTCCCATCTTTCAGTTTTTAACTTCTCCCCAATATCTTTCATCCCAATTCAATTCTCTCTCATACTTAAAAAAAAAAAAAAAAAAATGCTCTCAAGTACTTTCAAACAAGCTTCCCGGGCTCTGCAAATGGCCCGCTCCTTCTCAACAACCGTTCGTCTCGCAGCTTCTGATAAATCTCGTTTCGTCCCCACCTCCGGCGTCTACCCAAAGGGCTTCCGTGTCGGCGGCTATTACTCAGGTGTTAAAAAGCGCCCAGAACTTCTCGACCTTGCTGCCATTGTCTCTGATACCCCAGCCGCTGCCTCTGCTGTCTTTACTACCAATGTCTTCAAGGCTGCCCCAGTCCAAATCTCTAAAAAGGTCCTCGATGAAACTCATGGCGAAGGCATCAATGCCATCATCATCAATAGTGGCTGCGCAAACGCAGTCACCGGTGAAGGTGGTCTCGAAGACGCAACAACCATGGTCCAACTCGTTGACAAAACCCTCAACAAAACTGCTCCCTCTGGTGTCCTTGCAAACACCCTGGTCATGTCCACTGGTGTCATTGGCCAGCGCCTTAAAATGGACAAAATCGAGGCAGGTATCCCAGAGCTCTTGACCAAACACTTGGGCTCCGACCACGAATCTTGGATCCGAGGTGCAAAGGCTATTTGCACTACTGATACCTTCCCCAAGCTTGTCTCCAAGGAGTTCTCAATTGGCTCTAATACCTACCGCATTGCTGGTCTTGCCAAGGGTGCCGGTATGATTCACCCCAACATGGCCACCCTTCTTGGCTTTTTCGTCACTGACGCTGCCGTTGAGCCTGCTGCATTGAAGTCCATCCTCAAGTACGCTGCTGACCGTTCCTTCAATGCCATTTCTGTTGATGGCGACACCTCCACCAATGATACCATTGCTGCGCTTGCCAATGGTGCTGCCGGTGGCCCCATCATCGCCGAGGGCTCCGAGGGCTACGAAATTCTTCGTGATGCCATTACTTCTTTTGCCATTTCTCTGGCTCAACTTGTTGTTCGCGACGGTGAGGGTGCCACCAAGTTCATTACCATTAAAATTGAGGATGCTAAGACCTTTGAGGAGGCTAAAAAGGTGGCTTCTACTATCGCCACCTCTCCTCTAGTCAAGACTGCCATGTTTGGTAAGGATGCCAACTGGGGTCGTATTCTCTGTGCCACCGGTTATGCCGGTGTTGAAGTTGATCCTACCAAGACTAACGTTTCCTTTGTTCCCAATGACGGTTCTGCTGAACTTAAGCTTCTTGTCAATGGTGAGCCCGAAAATGTCGATGAAGCCCGTGCCAGTCAGCTTCTTGATGAAGAGGATGTCAACATTCGTGTTTCTCTGGGCACTGGTGGTGGCCACTCCACTGAATTCTGGACATGCGACTTTTCTCACGAGTACGTTACCATCAACGGTGACTACAGAACCTAAGATTTGAGATATGTAAACATAAAATGTAGATTAACTATTATTAAAACTAGAAAAAAAAAGTTATTTGACCGACCTGCAGCTTCGTTTTATTTTTTTTTTTTTTTAATTCTTGTCATCATCTTCCTTCATTTTTACCTTGATGAAAATAGCCGAACTCATGGAAAATATCCGGTCTTGTTCATTTAAGCCGGCCTTCTTTTTAGTCTGAGACCCTTTAATATAATTATCAAACCCCTTTACAACATTTCCTGCAGTTGTATCTTCCAAATATACACCTTCTGCTTTATATATTTGCTCTTCCAGCGCGTTCTGTTAAAAAGTTAGATACATGTGAAATTTTAAGATTTTCTTTTTTTTTTTTTTTTTTGTGCATTACCACCAACACATACCAAGTTCTTATCCAAAGCACGCTTTTTCGTAATAAGCTCACGAAGCTTACTTCTCACTTTATCATACTCTTCAACATTGACCTCATGAGTCGTCGGCTGTTCCGTATATGCAGGCATGATTTATTAGAATTTATATGATTGAGATTATTGTCAAAAAGAAAACTTTTTTTTTTGTTTTTTTTGTGGGGTTTCGTCATCGTCAAATAACGGGCACTGTATTTGTCAGAACGGAAGAAATATCGTGGAATGGCCGGGTAATATGTCACGTGTTTGATCTTATAATTTTTTTTTATCGCCGGAAAATTTTTGCTGGCAGGTTTTTTTTTTTTTTTTTTTTTTCCTTTTCCTCTTCCCTCTTTTCTTCAACAACTTTCCCAGGACGCTGCTGTAATCCGGATCGTTTTTTTATATTCATTTCCAACAGGATCAAGATATTTCAAAATGGCTGTTTCCGCTTCCAAGGCTAAGAGAGATGCCAAAAAGGCCGAAAAGGGCAAGAAGACCAAGGTCACCAAGGACGCCGCCGAAGAGGCCGCCGAGAAGATTGCTACCCTCAAGCTTCAAAAGGATAAGCACGGTCTTTCCGACCGTGTCACCACCGGTGTTCTTGCCAGTTTAGGAACCTCCCGTGACGTCAAGGTCGATGCTGTGTCCCTTGTGTTCCACGGTAAGGTTTTGATCCAGGACACCACCATCGAACTTAACTTTGGTCGCAGATATGGTCTGCTTGGTGAGAATGGTTGCGGCAAGTCCACCCTTTTGAAGGCAATTGCTGCCCGTGAATACCCTATTCCCGAACACATTGATATCTACCTGCTTAACGAGCCCGCAGAGGCTACTGAGTTTAGCGCCTTGGAGTACGTTGTTCGTGAGGCTGAGCACGAGCTCAAGCGTCTCGAGGCTCTTGTCGAGGAGATTCTGGAGGAAGAAGGCCCTGAGTCTCCTTCCCTTGATGACCTTTACGAGCGTATCGACAGTATGGATCCCAACACTTTTGAGTCCAGAGCCTCTGTCATTCTTAATGGTCTTGGCTTCAACAACAAGACTATCAAGAAGATGACCAAGGACATGTCTGGTGGTTGGCGTATGCGTGTGGCCCTTGCCAAGGCCCTTTTCGTTAAGCCCACCTTGCTTCTTCTTGACGACCCCACTGCCCATTTGGATCTCGAGGCCTGTGTCTGGCTTGAAGAGTACCTCAAGAGATTCGACCGTACCCTTGTCCTGGTTTCCCACTCTCAAGATTTCCTTAACGGTGTCTGCTCCAACATGATTGATATGCGCCAGCGCAAGCTCATTATGTACGGTGGTAACTACGACTCTTACATCAAGACCCGCACTGAACAAGAAACCAACCAGATGAAGCAGTACAACAAGCAACAGGAAGAAATTGCCCACATTAAGAAGTTCATTGCTTCCGCCGGTACCTACGCCAACTTGGTTCGTCAGGCCAAGTCCCGTCAAAAGATTCTCGACAAGATGGAGGCTGATGGTCTTATTGAGAAGGTTGTCCCTGATAAGGTTTTCTCTTTCCGCTTCCCCGATGTTGAGAAGCTTCCTCCTCCCGTTCTGTCCTTTGACGACGTTACCTTTTCATACTCTGGCAACGCAGAGGACAATCTGTATGAGAACCTCAACTTTGGTGTCGATATGGACTCTCGTATTGCCCTTGTCGGCCCTAATGGTGTTGGCAAGTCTACTCTGCTCAAGCTCATGACTGGTCAGCTCACTCCCACCTCTGGCCGTGTTTCTAGACATACCCATCTTAAGATTGGTGTTTACTCTCAGCACTCTGCTGACCAGCTCGATCTGTCCAAGTCTTCCCTTGAGTTTGTTCGCGATAAGTTTTCTAACATCTCCCAGGACTTCCAATACTGGCGTGGTCAGCTTGGCCGCTACGGTCTTACTGGTGAGGGCCAGACCGCCACTATGGCCACTCTTTCTGAGGGTCAGCGCTCGCGTGTTGTTTTTGCTCTGCTGGCTATTGAGTCTCCCAATATGATTTTGCTGGATGAACCTACCAACGGTCTTGATATCCCCACCATTGACTCGCTTGCCGATGCCATCAATGCCTTTGAGGGTGGTACCGTTGTTGTTTCGCACGATTTCCGTCTTTTGGACAAGATTGCCAAGGACATTTATGTCTGCGAGGACAAGACTGCCACCAGATGGGATGATTCCATTCTGGCATACAAGGCTAAGCTGGCCAAGAACATTATCTTGTAATTGGTTTTGTTTTGTTTTTTTTTTCTTTTACTTATCTCATGACTCTTTTTATACATTTATATGCGGTTCTTCTAGTAATGTTAGGTTTTATTTTCTCTCTTTGCTTAAACAATATTTTTCAAAGTCCAATTGTATTTCTTCCAGAGGTTTTGGTTGTAAATAAAAGATTTTTCACCAGAATAATAATATTTTTGTAATTACAACTAAAGTACTATGTGTATATATATATTTTTTTTAAAAAATTCTATTAATAGCATATTTTTGTGTGTGCATGTGTCCATTTTTTTGGACCTTTTTTTTTTTTTTTTTTTTCTTTTGCACCCCCCTTTTACTTTTAGACAAATTATCACCAACTAGGGACTTCCAAAAGCTTTTGTTGAACCCTTTTTTTTTTTATTCAAATAGAGCGTCTCAAAAGGACATGCTCTTATCTGTCAAATTAAACTTTCTTAAGTTTTTTTTTTTTTTAATTTGTGCGCAGACTGAAATCTTTGATAAAAACAAAAAAAAAAAAAAAAATTAAAATCTTGGTTATATCCAAGACGCATTATAACCATATATTCAAAGCGTTAGCTTGCATTTCATACCTAAATAAACAAACAAGTTTACTTTAAGATCATCACTATTTTCTTCAAAATCAACAACATCTACCCCCCTAATATTCACCCTTTAAAGCATGTCTGACCAAGAAACCCCTACCCGCTCTCCAAAACGCCGGGGCTCTGGCGCTCTTGACACCCTCAAGAATGCTCTGTCCATGTCCCCATCTTCTCGCCAAAAACTGTCCCTGGCCCAACTTCCAACTGGCCCAACAACATCCGAACAAGTATCACAAAAACAACAACAACAGGATCATCTTCAACTAGAAGACTACCAGTCATCTTTTGAAAACTTTGAATCCATGAGAATGTCTCCGGGAAGCCCTCATATGGCTCCTATTAATACCAACATTCCTGTAGCTGCATCGCCGCCAATTAAAACCCCTGTGTCGGCCACCTCCTCACCTTCCAAGTCCCATATTTACCCCGAGTATTCCACCTCTCCTTCCAAATCAATAAAAAGCGCAACAAGCCAATACCACACCTCACCCTCTGCTGCTGCCGCTGCTCTGGCTTCTTCCTCTAACGCCCATGTCAAGTCTGGACGCATCCGGATCGTCGATTCCCCAGCAGTTATGCCCGCTGTTCCAATGGTAGTTGGGTCTGCAGCCACCGTGGTCCCCTATGTCGCTTCTGAGGATAGCGGTGATGATGAGGCCGAAATCAGTGGCATCTCTGCTGCCGATTTAAATGACAACAACGCTGCAGAACACAGTTATTATAATTTCCAAGCTCACGATGCGGTGGCTGCTCAAAGTGCTCAGTACTACTACGGAGACGAAACTAGTTCTGCAGCAAAAAATGGAATGACTTTTTCTCCATCTCAAGACAGCATTTCCTCTAATTTTTCTGATGTGATTGAAAGCTACAATGATACTCCATCAGATGCACTTTTTCATTCTCCTACATACGCATTGACTCAAGGGAATTCAGCAGCAATTGCTCCCTTTGTGGCTTCTTCTGTTGGGGCAACTACATTTACTCATCCGGATATGCAACATTTTGAAAGCGCTGGAACCATTCAACATGGTACTCCTAGTGATTCATCTTCGTCTTATGTTCATGTTGGTAATGAACGAAGTAATTCAATCGAATCAAGTTTCCATAACTTGTCTGTTGGATCGTCTCCATCCGTTGGAACAAATACAAACCAAGAAAAGCAGCAGCAGCAGCAACAGCAACAACAAGAGCTTGAGCATGAGCATGAGCACGAACACGAGCATGACGAACTTCTCCCGGAAAGCAACTTAAGGTCAGTTCCAGATTTACTTGCAGCGCATAAGCAACGACAAAGCATGAATAATTACCAAAGCAATATAGATTATGAATTCCAACAGCACATGCAACCACATGATGAGACAGCTTATCATACTGGCCTTGAATCCCATGAAGCCTATGGCGATCAAGCATCATCCATTATGTCGGGTGAGACATCCTCATTTTATCCAGAAGACGAGCGCCTCAATGTACCAATCCCCGCTCCTGCTACTCCCAATACCAACCTTTCGCATGATCCTCAACACATTTTACAAAAATATCATCCTAAACATGGTTCCTTTGCTTCCAGCATGCACCCCCCAGTACATGGTGGGGCCGGCCATTCTTATTCTGCATCCACATCTAGCAGTGTTAGTGGTCGCCGTTACCTTAATGCCCCAGACCCTAACTCGCCAGCACGTACTTCCATCATTTCAACAGCGAGCTCTGCCATTTTAGATTCGTCAGGTGGTATTCCCAATCTTTCTGAGTCTAGTAATGTCTCACTCAATAACCTGAGTAGAAACGGTAGTGGGAGCAGTCACGGTAACATGCATAGGAGCCAGGATATGGCCATGTCAGATCCCAATGGCATCAACGACTTACATCATGATAATATGAGCATATACTCGACGGTCAGTACAGGGACCATCAAAAATGGGCTTGCTCATTCGGCAGGTGATTTGGTGGATAATGATGTAGTTGTTCCTCCTGGCGGCCATGTTGCGCCATTAAACCTGGGCGACGATGATCCAAACAATGCCGGTCAGCAGTTATTTACAAGAACCAACGAGTTGCTCATGAATCGCCAGGCTTCTGGAGGTAAGACTGGTGTTGCCACTGTGAGCGTTGAAGATAAATTCAAAAATGAGCATATTCGTGCGCCTGTTATTATTGACGACATAACAGGAGATCCATTAGTTTTCTATCCAGCTCCAATTCCTGTGCAGCTCAAGCTTCCGCCCCTGTTGTCAAAGCGCAACCAAGAGCTTCGTGCTGCAGCCATGCTTAAGGCCCGTCAAGGTGATCGCATGGTTATGCCGCGCGGTGCTGGGTTAACACGGATTTCGTCCAAGGCAATTGCCAAGAAAAACCGGCCCAAGACGTTTATGATTCCGCCTCCGCCAGTTTGGAATGTGGATCCGACTGTTATGCCTGATGCTGTTATGAAGCACAAGCGTACGACATCGTCGGGTTCGTCCATTATGCTTGACCGTCGCAGGTCGTCCAGCAGACTGAGTATGTTGACCATGGATACAGACGTGTTGCCGATTGATGGGAAATCGCATCATCGCAGAAAGTCGTCCACAGGGACCCTGGGGACCATTGTGACATCTCGACATAAACGGAAAGAGTCTCAGGGGTCCATTGGAACGGAGATTGCACGAACGGAAGAAAGCGATTTTGATTCTGATTCTGATTCTGATTCTGATTCTGATTTCGATGATGATGATGATGATGATGATGATGAGACCGATACTGAGACTGAGAGCGAAACTGAGGACAATCTTGAGGTCAAGGATGAAAACCAAGAGATGGATGGTGTGGAGAATGATGCTAATGGTGAAAATAAAATTAGGCTGGTAGTTGTTAACAAGGATGAAGTGAAGGATGAAGATGAAGAAGTTAATGAGAATAGAGAAGCTAACAATGAGGAAGTGCATTCTGAAGGCGAATTTCATCAGGATGAAGTGGAACAAGTGGAAGGTCAAGAGTTGGGCGATAGTCTAAAGAAGAAGAAAAAGAAAAAGAAGAGTAAAAAGGCTAGAAAAGCTAGAAAAGCTAGAAGAGCTAGAAAGGCTGCTGCTGCTGCTGCTGCTGCTGCTATCGCCTCTGAGGCCGAATCCGCAGTTCCTAATTCCAATGAGGAACCAATTGAAGGGGAAATTGTTGATCGTGAAGTTGTTCCTGGTGAAGAAAATGTGAAAGATGAGCCAGTTCAAGCTAGCGAAGAACAACAACTACAACAAACTGAAGACTCGGAAGACGCTGATAAGGTTATTAAACTTGACGCACTCAATGTTCCCAAGCAGCGCAAGTCAAAGCGCATGTCTACAGTGTCTAAAATCAGTTATATCGATGGAGGTCGGGACGACTGGGACGATGACTACGAAGAAGAAGAGTATGAGAGTCAAGGTGAGGAAGAAGGAGAAGATGTGGATGAGGACGACGACGATGAAGGCGAATATGATAATGGGTTTTGGCATTATCTCAATGACGAGGTGGTTAGTGATTGTGCTACTTTGCCGAGTGATGAGGAATACCAGGAAGATATGCTTGATGATGATTCTGAGACTGAGAAGAACAAGACAGAGGCTGAAAGAGAGGCTGAGCGACTTGGTATGGGCAACATGAACATTGATGATTTTGCATTTACGTCATTCAATCCCAACTCTGCGGTGACGGACCGTGGGCTTCTTGCCGGCTCGCTTTCGTATTCTAGTGGATTATACCCTGCTGTTGGAGTGCAACCGCGCTCTTTGATTGAGGAGTTGGAGATTCGCAAGGCTGAGCGTAAGGCACGGGTGCAAAAAGTGTATTATGATATCAACACGGGTAATGCGATTGCAGCGGACATGTATGGCAGACAAGCTCCAGATCCTGATCAGTTGATTCGATACCCGAACTCTGAGCATCCGTTGAATGAGCGGATGAATAAGAGTTTGCTTGAGCTACAGCAGATTGCACAGAAAGATTACCGAGGAGAACTGCAACACCGACGACGAATTCAGGATCTGAAGGATGCTGAACGACAGGCATATGTATATGGAGGGTTCAATGGATCTAAGGCGATGTTGAATCATATGGGGTTGCTGCAAGCACCAGCGAGTGAAGAGCCTGAGAATCCGAATGAGACTTTGAAGGAGCGGCGAGAGCGGTTAAAGCGGAAGAAGCAGGAGGAGCGGAGAAAGATGGAGGCATTAATGGCATCGATTGAGAGTGGAGTGTCGATGCCTGGAGAGGGAGGTATTGAAGATGATGAGGAGGAACCACCTGGAGAGACACTTGCCGAGAGACGTGCACGGATCAAGAAGAAGAAGAGGGCGGCACGTGCGGCTTTGGAGAGTAATGGAGAGCAGCAGTCGTTATTGGGGACGGAGAGTATTTTGAGCAGTGCTGCATAGAGGGAGAGAGAAGAGATTTTGAAAAAAATGTAAGGGGAAAAAAAATATATATATTTGATTTAAAAATGAAAAAAAAAAAAGATAATAATAATAATAACAGCTTTGATAAACAAATAAAAGATTTGAAAAGTATTTGATATATATTATTTCTATTCTAATATATTTGGTTTTTATATTTATTAATTGTATATATAGATATAAAGCTCTTTTTTTTTTTTTGTTTTTATTATTTATTTAAAAAAATAAATAAATAAATAAATAAAAAGCAAGTATCTTAAAACAAGTACAACAAAAAAAAAAAAAGTAAACTAAGCAAGTCATGAAGTTGAATCCTAAATAAAAATGTAAAAAAAAAAAACAAAATTTCGTAAAAAGCTGATGAAAGCATTAAAAACATAAAAAAAAAAATTTGGGAGGCAGGAGGGGGGGCATGTCGTTAAAAGTACAGTTGAAGGTCATTAAAAGCATAAAAAAAAAAATAAATAAAAGAGCAGATGAAATTTTTTTTTTTTTTTTTTTGAATTTCCAGTGTTGAATCATTGAAGAAATTTTAGTTGATTTTTTTTTCTTTTTTTCGTTCTTTGCCGCCGGTCATAATAATAATAATAATAATAATAATATAATAATAATAATAATAATAATGATTATAATAAATAATAATAAAGTTGATTTCATTTTTTTTTTTGGTTGGTTGGTTAGTTGGTTGGTTGTTATTCTCAATCAATCAATCAATCAATCAATCAATCATCTTCTCAAAAGACTCAAAAACTCTTCACGAGTTTTATGAGTTTCACGGAACCGACCAAGCATACAAGAAGTGGTAGTACTAGAGCCTGGTTTTTGAACACCACGCATGACCATACACATATGGGAAGCTTCCATGACAACAGCAACTCCCTGAGGTTGAAGGATTTCCCAAAGAGCCATAGCGACTTGTTTAGTAAGACGTTCTTGAACCTGGAGTCTGCGGGCAAACATTTCTGCAATGCGAGCAAGTTTTGAAAGACCCAAGACTTTTGAGTTTGGAATATAACCAATATGAATTTTACCATAAAATGGCACAAGATGGTGTTCACAAAGAGAGAAAACATCGATATCTTTAACAATAACCATTTCATCATGGTCTTCCTCGAAAAGTGCACGATTAATGACATCACGAACATTATCCTCATATCCCTTTGTAAAGAAAAGCATAGCACGAGCATAACGTTCTGGAGTTTCAAGAAGTCCTTCACGGTCAGGATCTTCTCCGAGCTCAGAAAGAATGGTACGAACAGCAGAAGCAATTCGAAGTTCACGAGCACGAGCTTCAGCTGGAGTAGCTTCAAGACGGTTACGGGCCCCAATGCTTGGCCATGAGAGACCATCATAGTCAATGGGAGGGCTTGCAGTATAAGGAGAAGAAGCACGTTTTGTGTTGAGGGGGGAAAGGTTGCGAGCAACTACAGGGTTTGTAAGGGCAGAGGGTGGAGGAGGGGATGATAGGATGCTTGGTTGATTTGATGAGGATGCTCTAGGATGGTGAAGGTTTGAAGGAGAAGAGGGGTGATGTTGGTGTTGATGTTGGTGTTGGTGTTGGTGTAGGTGCTGGAGATGATTGTAGTGATTTTCATGAGAGTTAGATGAGGTAGATGTAGGAGGAGCAGGTTGTGAAGGAGTGGTAGTGGCAGTAGCATTAGCAGTAGAGGTAGAGGTAGAGGTAGAGGTAGAAGGTTCAGGAGAATTTTGATTATTTTGATCATTTTGATCATTTTGAGCATCTTGAGCATCTTGAGCATCTTGATCAACTTGATCAACTTGATCATCTTCAGAGGTTGTAGAGGGGGTATAAGCATGGTCAGTAGAATCTGAACGGCCATCATCTGAAGTTTGAAGCAAAGGTTGAAGAGAGAGTGTAAGTTCTGATAAAGAGGACTTGAATCCAAGTTGAGCTAGGACTTGTTGTACATGGACGAGGTCCTTTTCTAAGGAAGAATTTTGAGGATCCATTTTTTTGAAGTTTTTTTTTTTTTTTTTTTTTTTTTTTTTTTTAACAAGACTGGTTTTGTTTTATATATAGTCTTAAAAGGTATTAATGGATTTTTTTTTTTTAAAGGGTATTTATTTTATAAATTTTTATTTTGTAGTATTTAGTGGGTTTTTTTAAAAAAAAAAAAAAAAAAATAAAAATTAAAATTTATGAGTAATTGTGAAAAAAATTAAAATAAAAAAATTAAAAAAAATAAAAAAAAAAGGGATCTGAGTTTTTTTATTTTTATTTT